AGTGTTCGAGACAGATTTGATTACGAAGCGCTGCAATAACGCCTACGCTGCAGATGACATTTCAAAGAGACGATGACATTTCTACGAAAAACGATAGGGAAGAGCCTTTGCTGGATATCAAATGACATTTTGTAAGGAAAAAAAAACTTTCGTGTCCAATGTACATTCGAAAGGTATTATTCAAGAAAGATCCTTCATACACAAGCATTCAAATGCTTCTTTCACGACCCCATCACACACACTCTCTACGCAACGTCTTCACCACCTTACATCTCAGAGTACAGGAAGTTACCAGACTCGTCAACGTACTCGATGGTCTGCTTGGTGACACAGTATCCCTGCTCCTCCCAAGGCATGGATGGGTAGGGGAAGACACCGTTAGAGGGGCTCTGGGGCATCGAGCCGTCGCTGCTAGGCTCGTTGTACTCATCGCCGTCTGGCAGAGGGATGTCGAGCGCGGTGGGGACGTACTTGAAGGGCTTTCCAGCAGGAAGGTGAGCAGTGACGCTCTCGAGAACCTCGTAAGGAGCGCTCAGGTCAGGAAGTTCATCGTCAGAAGCAGCAGGCTTGGCCTTGTTGCACTTGACGCTAATGTGAAGGTTGGGGATGTCGTCCGCGTTAAGCTCACCGTCAACACCAACAACCTTGTAGTAGAGGTTCTCCTTGAGGTAGGACTCAATGTGTTCGGGACGGAGCGACTCGAGCTCACCAGCGGCTTCCTTTCCTTGGAGGCAGGTGGTAAGAGGGAGAGCACCCTCAGTCATGACAGACTGGGAAGCGTTACCACCACCTTGCATCATTCCACCGAGAATACCGTAGGAACCAACGTAGTTGGGGTCCTGGGTGTAGTCGGTAGACGGGTCGTAGTCGGCATCGGCGGTGCTGTTGCTGTATGGAGAGGTACCAGTGCTGATAGGAACAACAGCAGAAGCGGTCGAGTTTGCAACTGGGTAAGGCGCAGTGGAGTTCGAAGTAGAGTTGTTGCCGGGCTTGCCAACAAAGCAGTGGACAGTGTAAGATCCCTTGAGAGCGTACTTGTCGGCGATAACGGAGAGAACAGTGTGGTAGTCACCCTCCTTGATAGGACGTCCAAGGTACTGGCCAGTCTCCGACTCGTCGTCACCACGCTTGGTAAGTGTCCTCTGACCGGCGCCGTAAAGCTGAGTAACGGCGCGAGCCACCTGTTGGTAGGAACGGTCACTGGTCTCGGGGTAGTAGTATCCAAGGGTGCGGGTCTCCTTAACATCAACGGAGGTGAAGTAGTTACCGGCAGAGTCCTTGGTGAAGGGCTTAAGAGGAGAGTACTGGTTCTTGGGCTCACCCTGGTTCCACTGAGCCATGGGGCGCATGACGTTACCGTTGGAGATGTAGGTATTGGGGGTAATGAGCTGGTACATGGCGAGCAGACGGTCAACATTGGTGTGGTGGAGCCAGAAGAGGGGGTCGAAAGCCGAGACATCGAGGTAGTACATGTGTCCTCCACTCTCACCACCAGCAGTGTTGTGGATGGCATCGTGAACGGATTCGAAGCTGTCAACACCGCCGCCGCTCAGGTCAGTGCGGACACCGATAGCGGAAGTGCTAGCAGCACCCCAGTTGGCCTTGCTGGAGAACAAAGCAAAGACACGGTCACGAAGAGAGACGCGCATAGCGTTGAAGCGGGCGTTCATTTCGTTGTTGTTGCTGCGGGTGGGGTTAGCAACCGGGCGACGGAGCGTCTCAGGGAAGTTGTTCCATGGGCCTCCACCCATCTCAGATGGAAGCGTGTTGCCAAAGGTGTACTTGTACAGGGGGTTGTTGATGGTGACAGTTCCCTGAGGCTTGGTCACGGTAACAGTCTGGTCACGCATCTGAGTAGGAACGGTGGCGCCACCTTGTCCTGGGTCCATGGCCCAGTCCCAGTAGGGCATACGGAGAGTGGCCGCGGCGTTCCTCCATCGCTGCTGCTGGTTGGATGGGAACGTAGCGATGACTTCCAAGACGCTCTGGTACCATGCTTGCTGCGAACTGTCAGTCTACGCTTGAGCGTTCAATCTGAGTTTCATACCTCGTAGACGGCAAGGTAAGGCCTGTGCCAGGAACCGAAGAGAGCCTGCGCGTGAGGGCAGAAACCAGCCTGGTTCATGAGAGGCGTGGGGAAGTTGTTCCAGGTTTGGAAAGGACGACCGTGGACACCAGAAACCTGGTAGTACGAAAGCCTGTCGTTTTTGTCCTTGGCCATGAACCTCTCCATACCCAGGAGGTACAAGTTCCACTGGTCGGCGTTGCGCGCCAAAGTACGGAGCTCGAGACGGGGCGCAGCAGTGTTGCCGCCATTGCACTGGCCGTTGGATGCAGTACCGGAGCTGCACACACCAGTGATGGTTATGAACCCTTGCTGGGACTGACGCTTGGTTAGCTCACCCTCGATCTCGTTGATGTGAGCCTCAATGGCAGAGTCTGCGTGGCGAGCAGGGTGGGCGTGGTGGTGCGAGCCATGCTGGAAAGCGACAGTGAACTGCAGAATGGACAAAAGGGCGACTAGCATAGTCATCATGCTCGCGGGCTTGCTGAAGTTGGCCATGGTGAAGAACGTAGTGGATGCTTTTTGTGTTTGGTTGAAAGACCGGATGGGCCAAGAGTCTCGAAAGAAGCCGACTCGAAGAACCCGAAGAATGAAGAACTATTAAAACCGATGCTAAAGAGCGGAACGACCTTTGGATCAAGCCCAGAAGGTCTGGAAAGAAAACGTATGCTGTAGAAACCTCGACGTCAAAGAACGAGGAATCAGAGATGCGGCGTAACCGTAGCAGGGGCGGGCACGCGGCAGGGTCATATATCGAGGTATGCTATTCCTAGTCCATGCTCAACTTGGTCTAAACTCATGCTGTTAGTCGCCTTTTCGGACACGAGGCGGTTGAGCCTGGACCGGGGGGGTATATCGTATTCGTGGCGGCGTCGATAGTGACGGGGCACTATTGGGTGGAAGATGGGATCAGTGGGGAGGTGAAGCGCCCCTGTTGGTCCCGAAACGTCCAAGGACGACTGATCCGCGCCGCCTTCCCCTGACTTAGCTAGATACGGACAAGAGCTTGCGCGCAGGGGCCGTTGGGGGCTGATGATTTGGGAGCCGACTGGCGCCGATGTGCGCCTCTCAGATGTCTCACGCTGGGGTCGCCAGATGCTGTGTCGCTACCACTGTAAATACGACGACGGACTGCCCTCCCTATCATCGTGCGACCTGTCCGCGCGACTGTGGACCAGAGCAAATACCGTGTACGCTCTCCGTGCCGATGAACGAGTCGTTCCTCCGAGCGGGAAAAAGACGCATTTCGGCAGCAAAGGCCTTTCTGGGTAGCTAGCACAGCCACCTCGACGCCCCAGGCTCGCTCCTACTGAGGAACCATTCGCGGTCCACAGGAGGACCGGTACTTTCACCTTCTGTATCCACTTCTCGCGCACCTTTTGATTGCGGCGTGTCTTGCGCATTCGCTTACCGGTCACATCCCCCCTCCATGCAAGGACACGCGCCATTGCGGTGCACCCTGCTGACCACGGCCTTATCAACGCATATCCTTATTTTGCCCCGCCGCTCATCGATTATGTGAGGAATGTCTACTACTATGCACGTTATGCGTTCTTTGCCCAGCAAAAGAGCGTCTTCGCCCTATTGCCCTTCTCGGCTGCTCGCTTGTTGGCCAACCTTGATGCAGGTACACACCAGGCCGTGTTTCATAAGGCCATGGATCACCACCCACACGTCAAGCACCTGAGTCGACACCGTTGTTTCAACCCTCCTATTTCCGCATATCGCAAGTGCTTGAGTCAACTCAAGCTTTTCATCTGTGGAGATGGTTTATCGATATCGTCCCTCAACAAGTGCTGTTCCTGCGGAGTGACGTCCAAGGACCTAGGTGGCGGGTTTTTTGAATCTAGAAGTCTATCTGGTTGCGAGTTTGGTCGGCTCGGTCGGTGCGCTGCATGCCCAGGTTTTGCAGCGGCGCGGCAATACGCATGTGCCTATATTCACAGACCCACGGTAAGATGCGAGGATTGACCCTCTCCACACGCGAGCGTCAGATCCGCCACGAGCCCTGGAGGGTCGCCGAGAATAAGCGGTTCGAGGCAACGCGCAATTCAATCCACTTCCTTTCTTGTGACGACATCGTTTCCCTTGGTAAGAAAACCGCTTTCTATTTTTATTCGCTTATCCTCAAATGCTGAGGGTTGATAGCTGGGGCTTTGGAACGTGACGTTCTCACGTACACAACCTTGAAGACCATATTTCTTAATGTCTCGAACCGTGGCCTGCGTCGCAGTCAACGAAGCATAATTATGGCGCGGCCCATGTTGGCAAACGGCGCAGCGTTTCGTGAAAATGAAGGAGCGCCGACTAGGATGGATTCATACAGCAGCGGCGCCAGCTGGCAACATCACCAGCCTGACCTGTAAATGTATGATTGCGCTCTTCCAACGGCGATGTTTGATTGGGAGGTCAACAGCAGAACGAAACAAGCAGTCTATAGGAAGCTATTGTCCCAACGCAGTCGTCATCGATACTCGTATCGAGGACCCGCAAGAAGTACCACGAAAGCACCGAAAGGACAGCGAACAACGACGTGACGAACAGGGTACTCGCCGCAGCCTCCGATCCAAATCAATCAACAAAGTAGATCTCTATTTAAGACTGACGATGAGCACGATATCGAGAGTATGCCGAAAGCACAATCACTGAAGCCAAACCTCCAGTCATGAACCCGACAACTTCTTTCTCTGAGCTCTTGAACGACTATCTCCAAACCACCTCAGCTAGCCTAGCTATGCACAAAGACTTTGTTTGCAAACATTGTTTGATCTGATTAGTAAATGTAGGCAATAGAGCATACAAGTAAAATAGGCTTCAATGATACCCACGACCTGAAGATAAAAAACTCTTCCTACACCACTCTATGCTTTTCATATGCAGCGTCATGTCCAAATGTTCTTAGCCGTACGATAATCCGCCTCCACCCCTACTCAAAATGCTACGAAGAGATCGGCGAGCAAGCCCACCAACTACGCAAGAAAAGCGGCCCAGCATGTGGAAACCTTGCAAACGGTCCTACCAGCGTAAGTGCCAATGTACGAAGTGCATGTGAGACATACACTGACCTCGTACATCCATATTTAGAGTCACCAACCATTGCCATGTTCGTAGAGAATGTTAGGTTATGGTCCGAATGCAAGAAGGTCGTACATCGAGACAAGAGAGTTGAGACAACTCTCAACTATAGTCGTGGCTACTGGTAGAAAGAGTGAGTTTGGCGAAAACAGAAGTACGTCATGCGGACCATAGAGTTGAGTGGGCATCAAGCTTCTTTCTGCAACCTATCGAAGAAGATTTTCATGTCATTGTTAACATTAGTGTCGCAGTGCGTCTGGTCAAAGTATGGCACTGTATTTATCGGCCCTCTAAGACGCACAACCAACCCCCTCTCTACCTAACGACATAGCACAAGTCATGTTCATGTTATCAAGTGAAAAGGGAAAGGAGTACATAAAATATCATATTGAAATCCGCGCGTTACGCTTCAAAAACATAAGATTGGCAGAAAACAAAGAAAGTGGGTATATGTTGTCTAAGACAAGCGACGATACAGTCAAACCTCATAGCATATACCCGATACACTCTTTTACAGATCAAAATCCATTCGTCATCGTCATCAATTCCCGCCTCAATCCTCCCTGATATACGCACACTACTGGAAGGCTCCCCTAATCTTAGCATAAAGCTCTGTATCCAGGAAGTTGTAATTCGGATCGCTGAAACAGAAAGGCGCTCGTAGGAGCGTTTCAGCCGTAGGACGCTCCATGGGATCAATAGTGAAGCAGTCGTACATGAAACTCAATCCCTCTACTCCAATCACCCTGGACACATCTTCGGGGATGGGAGGAGCCTGGTTCAAGCTACCGAGCTTATAAATGGCACCAATGGCTTCTTCCTTGGACCACGGACGTTTACCAGCAAACATCTCCAGGACAACGCAACCCAAAGACCAGATGTCGACCTTGGCAGAATACCCTTGACCCTGGGAGCGAATCACTTCGGGAGCCATCCAGAAGACGGAGCCTTGCATGCTGTTTGTCACGTCATTGCCGTAGATATTGTCGCTCTTCTTGGATATGCCAAAATCAGAGATTTTGCATGTACCGTCCAGGTCCAGCAGGATGTTGTCGGCTTTGAGATCACGATGAAGAATGCCTTCACGATGGAGGTATGAAAGGCCGAGCAGAGTCTGCCGTGTGAGTGAAGAGACAACAGACTCTTCAAATTTTCCGTGCTTGCGGATGCAAGACCCTACACTGCCACCAGAAATGTATTCGAGAAAGATAGAAATGCTGTACTCTTTGCGTTCGCATCCGAGGTACTGCACAATGTTGGGGTGGTCAAGATGCTGCATGGTATCGATCTCTTGATCCAAACTCTTCACAAGTTCTTTGATCTTGTCTTTATCGGACCCAGCGGCCTTGGCGTTGACCTCGACTTGTTTGACAGCGATAAGCTCTCCTGTGGTGATGTTCATACCAAGGTAGACGCGACCAAATGTGCCTTTGCCGATAAGTTGACCCTTCATCCATTTGAATGTTGGCTGCCGCGACGGGACACTTGGTAGATGATCTTGAGGTATCGTTTCCATGACGAGGCGCGAGCCGCGTTGAGGTCGTACTTGCTCAGTTCTGGCATTGAACATCTTCGTCGACTTTCGCCTGACAATATCGCCACCATTGCGTAGCGTAGCAACTCGCGATGGACCAGCACCAGCATGTGCCTGGCCTGGGAGTGGCCTCTTGTCGAGTGGCTGGTATTGTGATTTCACCACTTCACGAATGGATTTGGTACGGCCCAGGCCAGCACCCGACTTTCTCATGTTTCGCTGCGCGATACTCTGCAGTCCGGCACCACCACGAGTGAGGGGCTGATTGACAGGAGTGGGCTCGACCGGCGCAGGCTGGGAGTCGTTGACTGGCTCAGCGGCGCCATCCGCATCCTCTTCCTCAAGCATAGGTTGGTCGAGGTTGACATTCGGGAAGAGCTCGTCAAGGTGTTCCACGAGGGCTTCAGCTGGCGGACGGTTTGCCCAAACATCGCTAGCGAAGGATTCGCGACGCGAGAACTTGTTTGTATCATTCGGGGAGTCGGTCCAGGTTGCAGATGCAGCCGACTCAGGATGGAAGTCGCTTGGCTGCGAGTCACGATCCCCAGTTGCGCTTTGCTCAGCGGACTTCTCCGTAACTTGTGCTAATGAGTTCTTTGACCGTTGTGTCTTGAGTGTAAGGTTTGGCCGTTGGCTACGGGAGTTGGTTCTAGTGATGGGTGTGTTCTTCGCAGGTGTGGGCGGACCAGCTCGTCCTGCGAGCGGCGCAGCGAATAGACCATCATCGGAATCGTCATCGTCGGAATCCAAAGGTTCAAGGTTTGGTGACTTTGTAATAAACGACACTCGTGCTTCCTCAAAATCGTGAGTAGGGCCATATATAGATACCCTTGATGGCTCTCTACTCAGTGTGGACTCTGGGGCTTGCGCTGTGTGAGGGCTTCGATTCGGTGAGCGAGATCGTTCGTCTCTTGGTCGTGTCACTGCTGGGTCGGGCATTGCGAGGGTAAGGCCTGGCCTCTCATTTGACGTATCGTCTCCGAAAGCTTCCTCATAGTCAGGTATTCTGAAAGGTATATTCCCCTTGCTCATTGTGAAATCGCCGGGACTGCGAGGTGACCCACCTGGACTATTCCTGCCAGAGCCTGATCTAGCTCCGAATCCATTGTCCTGCAGTATCTGTTGCGATGGTCGAATACTCTCGGGTGAGCCTTCCTCCTTTGAAGGCGGTTGCTGACCCTTTGGTTGCGGTGCGCGGTTCGCTGCTCCGATTCCTGCACCAAGATTACCAGCACCGATGATGGCGGCAGCAATGCCTCCCAACCCACTTGCACCTTGTGGAATGGCTTTGCGCTTTTCTGACTGTGACTCGGTTGATCTTCGCTTGTCTTGACCATCGTCACTCTCAGGCCATGAGCCACGGTTCTTAGCCCTTGACAACGAATTAGCCTTCAATAGCGTGCTGGTATCGGCAGGTACCGGTGGTGGTTCTCTTAGGGGAACGAGTTGCTTTGGCTTTCCGTCGAATTGTTTCTTCACGTCCTCGTAAGGAGAGGCGCGGGGCTCATCAAAGTCAACAATGCGTTGGCTTCGATAGCTGAGGTTATCACTCGAAGTAGGGTTCAGATCAGGACTGTGTCCATTGATCTTTTGGAAACGACTCCTCAAGTATTCGTCCTGTTTCCGCTTGGTTTCCTTCCGATGCTCTTCAGCAGCGGCTTCTAGCAGCTTCCGCCGTTCCTCTTCAGCCAAGTCATCACGCGGCTCCCACGCAGACTCTGCAGGCCTGTCGACCGGGTTGTTTGGCACAGGCTCAGTCTTCTCTGCCATCTTACGGAGAGCTGCACTTCTGTCGGCGACTAGCGTAGACTCTCCAGACTTTCCACCTGGCGAGTCTAGCTGAGAGTCGGCGTTGAGTCGAGAGTATGCATCTTCATCGATAGACCTGGCAGCTGCATGAGGAAGCGAAACTCCTAGTCCGGCAGAGGGAGGTACGGCACCCTCTTGGGGTATCTTGACAAAGATCTTGAGCTCGCCAACTCGGTTTCCGTATTGCGACCGAGCCTTCAGCAACTTGGAGTCTGACAGAGGATGATCGTGCTCTTGCTGTCCGGGTAGTGTAAGATGCAACTCTACGCCAGGTATATGGCTCAATCCCTGACTCAGCTCTTCACAACACACAGTCCGTAGAGATGCTGCTGAGTCTACATTGGTGATGTCAATAAGGCGGTAGTTCCAGCCATCCGGTGTTACGAAAGCGTATTTACGGTCCTCTCTCCCAGATGCACGGGTGCGACCCGCTGCTCGGTTGTCGGAGTCTGTCTGAGCTGATCGTCTCGAAGGGGGCCGCTCGTTCAAAGATGTTTCGCTTGAGTTCATGCCAGACTTTCCAAAAAGGGAGCTGCTTGGATGAGTACGATGGCTTGCCGGACTGGTGGGCGAATCAAGACTGGTGTCATCAGGAGATGGGTGATTCTCCTTCTTTCGCCCACCCATGATCTTTTTGAAGAAACCTTTCTCATGGTCCTTAGCACTAGTCGGCACCTCCATATCGTATCTTGCTAATCCGGTGCCTGGCCGTGAGCCTTCGTAGCCGTTCTTCCGGTTCTCGTTCCGGCTCTCAGACCGGTTCTCGAATGACCTGCCCGAGGGTGGACCGGAACCAGTATTAGCGAACGTGGAGTTTATTGATTCGGTGCTGTTGACGCGGTTGTGAGGAGAGTAGTAGCGGGATCCGTTGTTATTCAAACCCGCGCTGAGCTGCCCCCCATTAGTAGCAAGGCGGGCTGATGATAAGGCTGGGCTTTGCTGTGGACTTGCTTGGCGATAGTTTGTCGCACCCAGAGAGGATGGCCCAAATTCCGAGGATGCGTTTGGGCTGTGCCGGACAGACTTTGGATCGAGGCCCTGGAGAACTTCTCTTGAGTAGGGACTGCGTGCCGGTCCCTCTGAAAAGTCTGGAGTCGGACCAAGGCCTGGAACTGTGAAATTGCGCTGCTGTGTAGAGATGCGTCTGGGTGGATTTGTGCTGCCACCAGGCGAATGTAACAGCAATTGGCGCCCAGGGCTCTCTTCGCCGTTGCCGGCTGTGGTTGGTGTCGATCCAAAATCCATGCCCCGGGTGCCAATGTAGGGTGAATTCTCGACAGTGCCCTCTGTTCCAGCGCTCGTCATGCCAGTATCAGATCGTTGCGGTGCTGCCCGAGGATTGGCGGTGGTGCCAGTCTCAACAATGGAGCGTACAAGTCTACGCAGCTTGCGGCCCTCGTCTCGCTCTCTATTCTGGTCCCATCCAGTCCCACTTGCGGTGCATTGCTTGGCCAGCTGCGGAAAGATGACCTGATGCATCATGGCTACATTGCCTTTGCTACCATGGCCGCGGCCAATATCCAAGAACTTTGAGCCTTCAAGACCCAATGTTCTGAATGTTTCTTGCCAGTCTCGTGAGAAATTGTTGCTCGCTAGCCAATGCTGTACACGTTCAGCGGGCCAATGCATCGAGTGGTCGTGGGGAGATATGGGCGTGGTGCCGTTGCTTTCAGAGCGGTGGTAGACGCTGCCATGGTTCTGGACCATTGGGTTTTGTAGGGTTGCGGTTGGCGGCCCAGAGGAGTCGTAAACCTGAGCTCGTTCGGTGGGTATATTGAGGTGATTGCGACTGCTGGGCGTCTGGGGAATGTTGAAGCCGTTGTTGGAGCCATATTGCACGCTTTGCACGCTCTCGAGGAGGCTGCTAGAGAAGGCCTGGGCCGACGTGTCGGTATTGGCGGAGTAGTTGTCGTCCCTGTAGTAGGGCTCGGGATAACCTCCTCGCGAAGTGTGCAGTGGAGGTATGCCTACGCCGGGACCAAACGACTCGCCGCCGGGGATGTATGTGGCTGACGTTAGAGGGGGTTCGCGCTCGTGCTGGATTTGTTGAGGCGGAGGCCCTGGGGGAGGGGGGATGTTGTGAGGGTAATTGCGATACTGGCCCGGGTCATAGCCTTGCTGCTGGTACTGGGGTCTTGGGGGACCCCAGTTGTTGGAAGCATGCGGGGGCGGCGGGATGGGTATGCCCCCCAGGCTGCCGTAGTTGGTGGGCCGTGGCGGCGGCGGGGGAAGGGCAATGTGGCCGGCGGGCGTGCTCGAGGGCTGAGGCGGCGGAGGGGGGATGTATTGATGCATAGCTGGGCCGTCGAGGTACGGCTGCTGCTGGCGGTGCGTGGTGAGTGGGTCGGCAACAGTATGCGCCCTCGCACGCGGACTCGTAGAAGGCGCGCTGGCGCCGCCGGGGGAGAAGGAGGGATATGGCGAGCCGAGATTGCTCAGGCCCAGAGGCTGGAGCGACGACGAGGGCGACGAGGTGACGCTGGGGATCTCGGGCAGCGGAAGATTGGTGGGCGGGATGCGGTTCTGGCGAGGCCCGCGACGGGCAGCAGGGTCCGAGGGATTGGAGATATTTGACGCGGAGCGCTGTCGAGGCTCTTGGGTCATGTCTTGACCACGGCACGGCGGTGGAGGCTCCTCGGATGGGTCAGAGGCCAAGGTCCGTCACATCACGACATGCCTGGGGGAGCCAGCTGCCAGACGTGGTGGGCTCCTTGGGCTCCTTTGTCGGTGTCGATGCAAGTTGCGCGGGTGGGTCCCAGGACCAAGGCGACAGGTCGAATACGGGATACGAATCGCGGAGCCGTTGGGACGAACGGGGGGTGAACGATGGAGTCTGGAGGTCAGAAACGCGGCGCCTGCGCTTGCGTCGACGAGGGCGCTTCGACGAGGGCGGATGCGCTTGGCCGTCGCAGCAAAGATGGGATGCAACCACGGCGCGGGAGATTGCGAGGGCAGCGTGGGCAGCGGCGACAACAACAACAGGAACAGCAGCAACACAACGACGAGGGGCAGCGACTGAGCGACCGAGTGCGCCGGCGTCCAGATGCTGCCTGAGGGTCTGGCGGTGGTGAGAGCTACGGCCCGCGCACGGGCCAGGCGTGAAGCCGGCACCGTGATTTGCTGGACGCGCCTCTGAACTCTTGCGCTGTCAGCCGTTGCACCCTTCTCGACCCGCCTCTTGCACGCTGTAACTTTCAATGCGCATGGATCATTACGTAGCCACCGGAGAGACACCGTCGCGAGCCCATTTGCCGTGTTTCATCTCACACGAGCACGTGGCGGTGCTGGCCTCGCACCGCCACAACTGCTGCTGCACTCAGTCGAGCCAAAGAAGCCAAAGAAGCCAGCGCGCAAGCTATCCATCGTGCCCCGTTAGTCAGGTACTGACTGGCCCGGCTATCTGCTCCCGAGCACCACCTTTGCTCGTATCAACGTAATGTCTAATTTCAATCTTCAGCTCCTTTCGCCCTCTCCGTCGCACTCACAAAACTTTGTCTTCCGCTCTAAGTCTCGGTAAATTCCTGCAAATACCATTTCCCATTTCTCGTAGTATGTTTTGGTGGGGCAAGCGGTTAGTCGACAGGGCCAACCCTCCCTCCAACCTTGGCCGCGGAGCGCACAATGTACATCTACCAGCATCACGACCAGCTGGACGTCTTGTCTTGGAGCACCTTCACTGATTGGCAAGTTTCGATATGGCGATATTTCGGCGTTTTGGTCCTGCTATAACAGTACCTCGAACGGGTCAGCTTGTTCGTTCCTGGTGTGGTCAACTTGGCCATTTTCAAGCTGGCACATTGGAGTGCACGCGACTTGCTCTTACGAGGCCTGTGCAACATCGCGGCATCTCAAGCACCCAAGCCACCCCACGCATTCATGTCCTGGGCCTAGGAAGTGTCGGCACTTTCACAGCCCACTCGCTTGCTGAGATACCTGCAAGACCAGCGGTAAATCTACTGCTCCATCGTCCCTCTCTTGTGCAAGACTATGTGCAAAATGGAAACAGGATCCGATTGAAGACGCACCAAGGCCAGAATGTAGCTCAGACGGGCTATGACTTGGAGGTGTTGCACGGTAAAACCTGGCACTTGATGCAGGATTCGCGCACGTATGGGACTGCTGAAATATTGCAGTCAATAGGAACCCCAATCGATGAGAACATCGGGGACCTTGTCGTGTGCGTCAAGTCTACCCAGACGGTTGCAGCCCTACGGCCTCTTCTACCCAGACTTTCGCGCGAGTCCAACGTCATGTTTCTGCAGAATGGCGCAGGCATGATCGAAGACGCAAACACATTCCTTTGGCCTGATCCGCATGTGCGACCAAATTACGTTACGGGAGTGATATCGCACGGCATCACTCTGAACCGACCCTTCGATATCACTCACACGGGGCCTGCAGCTACATCAGTAGGACCAGTCCCTCGAGAAGATGGCGACACAGCTCAACCGCTTTCGCGGCTGCTAGACATTCTACCTCTTGCGCACCGTCTGAAATGTCAGGCTTATTCATGGCCCACTATAGTGAGTGTCCCTGTACAAGCTTCACGCGAGGCACACACTGACTTGGTACACCCACCTCCAGCTTCAGGTCCAACTAGAGAAGCTCGCCTGCAACGCGCTCAGCAACCCTATCTGTGCACTCGAAGACGCAGTGACTGCCTACATCCTCAGCATTCCAGAAACCAACATGAGACTCATGCAGGAAATCTCATCCGTCATCCTCGCTCTGCCTGAACTACAGGGTGTGGAGGGTGTGAAGGAGAGATTTTCGGCGAAATCTTTGCACCACACGGTAATGGATATCATCAAGAAGAATAGAGCAACTACGGTGAGTATGGTATGGGACATGAGAAACAGACGAGAGACGGAAATCAGATACATCAACGGGTACTGGGCCAGACGTGGAAGGGAAGTGGGTGTAAGAACACCATTGAATGACGAGCTGGTGGAGAGAGTTCAGGAAATGACTGCAGATAAGCTGCGGGGAGCTGGGTCGTGATCTTCACGTTCTGATGTATGATTAGCAAAATTCAGACTTGGATGAATGTTGGGATTCTGCTGTGGATAGACGGGTGATGATGCAGATTGACCAAATACATGTGGATGGTGTGGTACGGCCCACGAGGCGCCCCGCTTTCAAATGTCTCAATTCCACTCTGACCAACAATCTCGTGCTTGATACAAGTTATTTCCACGCCGCGATAACAGTGTTAGCACGAAGAAAATCGTGAGCGTAAACGAAGCCTCGAGCTGCAAGCGCACGCATTCGGTAGCAAGACCACGCCGCAGATCTGATACCTCACGCCACCTGGGCTGACAAACAGCGTGTATGCAGCGCGTCGCGTTACTATGGTGCAGTGTCCCACGTCCACCCGATGCACTCGCACGAGACGCGCCCAACAATGGCGCTGGCCGGTAAAGACCGGACATGACCTCATTGCCATAAACTTCGCGGACCCTTCTTAAAGGTAGCTGCGCCCAACAGCCACCATCATACCAAATAAACTACTTTCTTAGCATCAAAGCTTCAATTATCTGACAGCTCGGCAATATGGCACAGGATCTACGCTCCCAGGATATCAAAAACCCAATTGACGTTGCAGAGGTGAGTCGTGTGGACTGAACACGCATGTGAGAAGGTGCTAATTGACCGACGCAGTACCTCTTCCGTCGACTTCAACAAGTTGGAGTCGAGTCAGTGCACGGTGTACCAGGAGACTACAACCTCGTCGCACTCGACTACATTCCCAAAGTCGGCCTGAAATGGGTCGGCAACTGCAATGAGCTCAATGCTGGTATGTAAAGCTCGTCCTTGCGCTACCAGCGGCTCGCTTGCGGGAGCGACCGAAGTCGATCCGCCCGCCTCATACTATATATACTGACGATTACTATAGGCTACGCGGCAGATGGCTACGCAAGAGTCAAGGGCATCTCTGCATTGGTCACGACTTTTGGTGTTGGAGAACTCTCGGCAGTCAATGCTATCGCTGGCGCTTACTCCGAATATGTACCCATAGTCCACATCGTCGGCTATCCATCGACTGCATCACAGAAGAACGGAGCACTGCTACACCACACTCTTGGAAATGGCGACTTTACTGTTTTCTCGAGGATGTCCAAGGAAATCTCATGTGCTGTTTCCATGCTGAACAGCCAACACGAAGCAGCTATGCTCATCGACAACGCCATCCGGGAATGTTACCTCAAGTCGAGGCCCGTCTACATATCTTTGCCTAGCGATATGGTGACAAAGAAAGTCGATGGCGATCGCCTCAACACACCACTGGATCTGGAATATCCACAGAACGACCAAGAAGCCGAAGACTATGTTGTAGATGTGGTCTTGAAATATCTACATGCAGCAAAGAACCCTGTCATCCTTGTGGATGCATGTGCTATCCGCCACCGAGCGTTGAAGGAAACTCACGACCTCATCAAAAAATCAGGCATCCCTACATTTGTTGCACCAATGGGAAAGGGCGCAGTGGATGAGACGCTACCCAACTATGGTGGTGTATACGCCGGAGACGGTTCCAACGCTGGTGTGCGGGAACGCGTTGAGTCGTCGGATCTTGTTCTCAGCATTGGTGCTATCAAATCCGACTTCAATACTGCAGGCTTCACCATTCGCATGTCTCAGCTGACCACTATCGATCTACACAGCTACGGATGCAAGGTACGCTACTCGGAATACCCGGGTGTAAGAATGAACGGCGTTCTCTCCAAGGTTACAGCAAAGCTAGGGAAGCTCAACATTGAGTCCGGACCTAACCCAAACAACAACATTCCAGAGAAAGAGACCGCATCTACTGAGTCATCGATCAAGCATGCTTGGTTTTGGCCAAAACTCGGTCAATGGCTGAAGAAGGACGACATCCTCATTACCGAGACTGGCACCTCTAACTTCGGTGTCTGGGAAACTCGCTTCCCAACAGGCGTCAACGCCATCTCACAAGTCCTCTGGGGCTCTATCGGATACGCAACTGGCTCCTGTCAAGGTGCTGCTCTCGCCGCCAAAGAATCAAACATCAAGCGCACTATACTCTTTACAGGTGACGGCTCTTTCCAACTCACAGCGCAAGAGGTCTCGACTATGATCCGCAACAAGCTGGCTCCTATCATCTTTGTGATCTGCAACAAGGGTTATACAATTGAACGACTCATCCATGGATGGGAGGACTCCTACAACGACGTTCAGGAATGGAAATACAAGGACATTCCCCGTGTCTTTGGTGCCGAAGAAGGCAGCGTCCTTACATACCGGGTCGAGACAAGGGAGGAAGTTGAGAAGCTGTTCCAGGACGAAGAGTTTTCTAGTGGCGAGACGCAGAAGATGCGGTTCGTCGAGTTGGTCATGCCGTGGGATGATGCACCGGCTGCGCTCAAGGCGGTTGCTGAGGCTGCGGCTAAGACGAATGCTAGTGCGGAGTAGACGGTATAAGGAGGGGTTTGCAACTAATAGATGGTGTTAGGAAAAGACTTGAATATAGGATATGGCATTAGGCACGGTTCTCTTCTCTTCGTATGAATAATGACAATATAGCCCTACTCAAATATAATCTTACATGCGTCACTGGCTCCATGACTTGAAAGTTGAATCGAACATGTAGCAGAGAGCCATTGCAAGTAGAGCAAGTTGATTTACACAGGTGCAGAAAATGAAAAGTGATAACGGAAGCGTACGTCGTTGATTTGCATGTATTTCAACTATCGTTCCTTCGTAAGATCTTCGTATTGTCTTAATGTATCGACCATATCTTATCGCCTCTTGCTCTCAATATTATATCATTACGTTTACTTTCTGACCTCCAACTCTTCTTTACAAAGCGATAGCAAAGACAACCGCCACCACTGTCGTGCTCATTGCCGCCCAAAACGTCCTACCGGCGATCATCATGCCACTCGCATCACCCGAAGCAGCACCGCCAGAGTCTGCACCATCCCCTGTTGGGCTCGGCCTCGGGGGTGGGAAGCTTGTGTTTGTGGGCGTCTCAGTAAGGTTCTGCACTGTAATCCAGGTCGCGGCAATTCCGTTTGTCAGATTCGCGTCAGCCGCGAACTGGCTAACGTTGAAGCCCACCCTGTTGTCTGCTAGATCGTCGTACATGGAGGGTATGCTAAAGTTGCGTGGCTGTGCCATCAGGATGAACGTGTAGCTGTGCGGGATATCGCCGACAGGAGGCGAGGGCTGGAGGTACGGGACGGGATTATCCGAGGGGATCACGAGCGGCGATCCTGTTGTGTTGGCGGAAATGGGCACGGAGCGTGTTACATTTGTGGCAATCCAGTGGACGAGTTGGACGCGCGAGTTGTTACGGGGTACGTCGAGGTCGACCATGAGGAGGACGCATCGGCCGGGGCCTTGCTCGTCGGCGAACCATACTGGGGACGAGATTGTCGGGGGTTGTGCGGTTTCTGGTGATGAGTGTCAGCTTGGAGTTGCAGGGAATCAGGTCGACTGCGCCGCGACGACAGAGAATGAGACATACCAGGACGGGGAATCAGCTCTCCACCAGGCGACACGGTATTGTTCCCGTACATGACCGTCAAGTTCTGGGAAACCTGGATGGGAAACCCAGGTGCCGTCGCCGCCGTCGCAACACCCGCCAGCAGCGCAGTGGCGCTCAGAATGGTCTTGGTGAACATGTTGGTCGTCGTCTTGGTCGGTGTTGTTGTTGTTGTTGTCGGTCGTGGTGGTGTGTTGTGTTGCGCCGTGATGGCAGTCGTCGCTTGATGATGCGAAAAACGAAGGAGCGTGCGCTGCTTCTATAATTCCTGTCTTGGACCTGCGCAAACTGCAAGAGCCTGGTGGATGTTTCGTAGCTAAGGGCCTAATTCCGAGTACCCGAAGTGACAGTTCCAGATGTCGTTCATGACGTTAACCAAGACTTGGTCAAGGGCCGGCCTTGTTCGGGGTTTAGGCCAGGGCGGCATCCCGGCACAACTCACCTGAGCGCGAGCGCTGATTTGATTGCCTGAGGGCCCGTCTTCATGCCGTAGTCGGGGTTATAAACACGATCGCGCTGGTCGCCTTGTGCTCATGAGCCGTTGGACCTTTAGTCAGAGCAATTAACTCCTGCACTGGTGTGTGTTTTCATCATGTTCGCGCCAGTCTAAGCATGCGCCGTTATCTTTGGCCGCAACACGTGCTCGCGTAGTTGAGGACCACAGCAACGGATACCGGCAGAATGCCCATGGCTATTCATTCAGGCCGCCCTCAAGGCGTGCACGATTCCTTCAAAATAAACCACGCATGGATAAAGTGTGCCTGCAATTCGTCTATGCTCTATGTTTTAGAAGGCCTGTCTTAGCTCATGCTACTCGAAACACTGCTCATTGCCTGTCCCTACGATCGACTGATCATATGGTCTCGTGCAGGGCCAACACCAATCCACTTGACCTTCACTCCGACAAACTTCTCAATGTACTCGATGTAGTTCCTCGCCTGGACGGGCAGGTCGTAGTAGCTCGTTACACCAGTTGTAGGCTTTTTCCAGCCAGGCAGCGTGTCGTACTGTACTTCGACTTGGCCAAGTATCTCGATGTTCGCAGGGAAGCCTTCGAGCACTTCACCGTTGTACGAGTAGGATGTCGCAACTTTGAGCTCGTCAAAATCGTCGAGGACGTCGAGCTTGGTGAGGTTGATGGCGGTGTAGTCGTTACAGGCGTGCGAGTGCTTGACGACAACAAGGTCGAGCCAGCCGCAGCGGCGCTTGCGACCGGTTGTGACGCCAACTTCGTGGCCTACCGACTGGAGCTTCTCGCCCAGCTCGTTCAGCTGCTCGGTAGGGAAGGGTCCGCTGTCGTACGTTAGACTACGATGCTCGTTTTTGGACAGTAATGTAAACTCACGATCCGACACGTGTGGTGTAGGCCTTCACTACACCGATGACCTCCTTCAGTGACCGCCAGCCTAAGTTGAGACCTGTGATGACACCTCCAATACCAGTGTTCGATGATGTGACGAAGGGGTATGTTCCGTAGTCAATGTCCAGCATCAGCGCGTTCGCACCTTCTACTAGAATCTTAGCGTTCTTCTCCTTGGCCGATGCGAGGAGTGGGATCTGGTCAACGACATAGGGAGCAAGCTTCTCGCGCAGAGTCTACTCATACTGTTAGCCTTCGCATCGCAACATGCAATGCCGCCATGACTAACCTTGTACTGCGCAATCTCCGCATCCACGTCGTACTTGAGCAGATCACCGTATCGCTTCTGGAATCCCGAGGCCAACCTCCTGAGCTTCGTCTCGAAGATCTGCTCGTCGAACAGATCGCACATGCGGAGACCGCTCCTGGTCATCTTGGTGCTGTAGGTTGGGCCAATACCCTTCTTGGTTGTGCCTATGTCCCACAATCAGCACTGATGTCCCTCGCTATGCGCGTATATTCCTCACCAATCATGCCACCACCCAGTTCCACTTCTTCCAGACCATCCACCTTCTGGTGGACGTCGAAGACGACATGTGCTCTGTCCGAGATGAATATCCTTCCTTCAGTGTTCAAGCCATGTTTCTCCAGCGCCTCCAATTCCTTGAAGAAGCTCGGCACGTGGACGACGCAGCCACTTCCGATGACGTTGATGCAGCCGGGGTTTACAAGACCACTGGGGAGGATATGGAAATCGTACGTCACGCCGTTCGCGACGATGGTGTGTCCGGCGTTGTTACCGCCTTGGGCGCGGCAGCAGATTTGCGATTCGTGAGCGAGTATGTCGGCGAGCTTGCCCTTGCCTTCGTCGCCCCATTGGGCCCCGAGCACAACGGTAGTTGTCATCGTGAGAACGAGGAACGAAGAAAAGGGAATGGACGGGGCGGCGAGTGGGTTTTCAATTGCCCATGGAGAAGCGGACTTGGCCGAGTTAGTCACAAAGTCCACTAAAAGGTTTGCGCCGTTGGACGTCGCAATCAGCGCGTTGAAGCACCGTTAGACTCAGCGCGAACGGATAACTTAGGCCGAATTCGCTTACGCCGATGAGGGGTGGCTCACATTTCACGCGCTGAGCGATCTCACGACTCAATTGCTCGTTGCCAGTGTTCGGCGTTATGTTTCTTTTACCATCTTCGTACCCCACCATACCCCACCATACGACACAATGCCGCAATTTTCAGCACGAGCCAATGACGCATGTACCTCAGCCTTAACCCTATCCTTCTCAGTTTGTGCTAGACTACCATAATTACGATGGATAATCTGGTGAGACAAGACTACATTGGCAGCGAGAAAGATGCATTGGAAACTCCCTAATCAAGCGCTCTTTCGCTTTCTTTGCAAAACACGTATCCAGCTACCAGAGGTCAAAGTTGCATCTCCACCTGTGGCTTAACCACGCCAAACAACTGGACCTGGTGGCTGATATGTCTCAGGGGCTGCCGTGTATTTGTTCAGATCTACAAGAATCCCTGGGTCGTTGCTTCTGCAATCGCGTGTTAGTGTATGCATACATTATACGCTACTTCAACTTACTTGTATGCGCCAGGCAATGCAACAAGTGGTCCAGGGACCCCGCTTCCTCCCTCGGTAATTTTGATCTGCGAGCAGGCGAGGTAGAACTGCGCTTTGTTGGCTTGCATAGCCATGTGTAGTGCTATGTGTTCAACGCGAAGCAGGTACTCGCCCGCGGGTGTCGTAGCAGGAATTGTTGTGTTGGGAGTAGTATACTCATCTACAAAACACTATTAGGAAATGGTCAGATTCTAAAGGGATGACATACTCTGTCCTGGCCAGCTCATCTGCTTCTGCGCATTTACGCTTGGCATCGTAGTGCTGATCTTGAACCACACTGCGCCACTCCCATCCCAACTCTTTACATCCTTGCCGTCTGGAACCTTTGCAAGATAGTATTGTGTCGGTCCTGGGTGGTTGACTTGTTGCGTCGAGATATAGTGGACGGTTGACCCGGCTGGCACAATTGCAATGTTTGGCGCGGTTTTGGAAGTGTAGCAGCGAATGTCAGCAACGGTGGGGTTCTACACGAGAAGTGAGTGTAATAAGTATGCGGTAGTAAAGAAAGTTGTGATCATCGTAGATTACCTCAATGCCTTGCTTGGTATTTGCGTTCTTGGTCTCGCGGGTCGAAGACCAGTCTTTATCCTCTGGCTTTCCTTCTATAACGAGCCGTGGGAAAGTATCTATTCATGTGAACTTGCATGAAGAACATTTGATAAAATTGGCTTACAGTGTGCCTGTGCTACAGTGGCGACAGCCAGAATTGTAGCGAGTACATGCATAACGGGCGATCGGATCATACACAATGTGAACGGTTTTTACTTTTACCTCGATATCTTATATGTGGTCCATCGTCAGAGCTATACCGACGACATACCAGCTGACTCGAGAACTTTGTATATATGGGCTTGGCTATATCGAAGATACTAATGTAACCTATTGGAAACAGCAAGTATATTACAATATGCCAATGTCGATGAAGCGACCAATAGACATCGGCCTCCGTGTATGTCATATGCTAGAATCCGACATCTGCCGGCACAGAGTGAGGGCATAGCTGAATCATATATCGTCGCAAGCCCGACATCAGATTTCACAATCACAATGCGATTATGTAGACATTTTGATCACCCATAGGTTGTTGTACAAGTCTTTAGAGAAAAGTTGAATTCCCATATGGCACGAGTCATGCCGCTACGCTAACATCGAGCAAAGTAAAACGAACGAAATGTTGAGGTCGTGTCGAATCGTGAGCATGCACATCTAGTGCATGTAGCGGAACTCAGGGTGTCTGTATCCGAGGTCCTTGATCTGAGCAGCGGTTTTGCCAACCAGACGGTGGTCTCGCTTGCCCAGGTCGCGTTGCTTGTTCTCCCACTTGCAATAAAAGATTCCGAAAGTCGCGAGAAGGCACACGCAGATCTGACCAGCCAAGTTGATAGTATGACCTGTCGGATACCTTGGTGCATCCTGACTGGTATACGTCCTGCGATCTGTTAGCTACATGTTTCAATCGTAACTGCTCTGTAATTTGACATACCAGGTCGCAAGAATACCTCCAGCGGTACCAAGCGTGACCACGTAAGCAGTCGAGACTGAGCGGACAGCAGGACCTGCTGCATTGTTTGCCGCCCACGCGAGGAAACCAGGACCACCTGGAAACGCGCCAATAGTGATAAGGAAAATACCACCGTATCTGACGTTCGGGTCGGTAGCCCATCGCATAATAGAGAAGCCCGCAATAGCCGGGAGCGTAAAAATGGCGAGGTAGATACCACGGCGGTTGGTCTTGTCCGAGACGAAGGCCACTGCAATGGCAATCAGGCACGCGCATACATAGGGAGGTACTGAATAAAGCTGAGACTTCGTGGCCGTCCAACCAAGATCCCTGAGAATAGTGGGCTAGAAGTGTATGTTAGTATATAGAACTGTCCTGAAGGAATATTGGCTTACCATGAATAGAGAGATACCCTGCACAGTGATGTTGATAAAGAAGAAGCCAAAGGCGCAGAAGTAGTTTGTGATGTTCATCACAGCCCTCTTCACATGGTGGACTTCCGTCTTCTCATTCTCATCGGCTCCACTCTTTAGCACAAGTCGCTGGGTAGCAATCATCCGCTCGCGCTCGTTTAAGAACCAGCATTCTTGTGGGCTGCGAGGCATGAGGAAGGGCGCTCCAAGGCCGACGAGTACGGTAAAAAGTCCCTCGAAGAAAAAGATATTACGCCAGGTATGGATGATCATGCCCGAAGCTCCCCATGGCGGAATGCGAGCAAGACTGTCACTGAGTCAGAACCTCGAAATGCTAGAAGATCTGTGGCAAACTTACACAGTGGCGAGTAGTCCACCAAAAGCTCCAGCCATGGAGGCTGCAGAAACGTAAATACCGATGCGGAACAGGAGCTCGTTGCGCTTGTAAAAGCATGTGATGAAGAATGCAAGTCCACTATGCAGCGATCGTTAGAAAATGCTAGGTGCAGTACGAGAAAATACTTACGGCATTACACCGCCTTCAAAGACCCCTAGAAAAGCTCTTGCAACTAGCAATCCTCCAAAGTTATGCACAAAAGCGCTGCAGAGTGATACCATGCCAAATCCGCACACAAGAAGCGGCAAATAGTACTTTGGACCGAGTTTCTTCAGAAGAATGTTGCTGGGTACTTCGACAAACATGTAAACAATGTAGAATATCGAAGTCACCCAGTTGAAGCGGACACCCACGAGGTTCAAGTCCTCGGCCATACCCTGAATGCGTGCATTTCCAACGTTTACACTATAAAAGTAGTCAGCAAACAGCTTTTGTGTGTAGTGAAACGGTCCGTACCGATCAAGAAAGCATAGCAGATATAGAAAGGTAGTGAGCGGCACGATCACTCGATCCAGTTTGCGTCGGACCTTCTTCTCTTCCTCGGGCGTCCAGGTAAACTCGCCATCAGTAGACCGGTCGCTTCCGTTGGCCTCTTCAACTACCAAACTTGTTAACGTTTGACAAAAGCAAGATTGCCTAAAAACATACAAAGAACATTATCTCCCTTCTCTATCTCAGCAGGGGTGCGATTCAGACGTGTCCCCATCGATGCCAGTCCCATTTGTGCCATTTTGATGAAGCTGGATTCCGTGGTCGAGATTCAGAGTCAACGAGGCGAAATCTCTTCGTCGTTGTGCTGTAGCCCCACACGTTCCGTAAGTCTGGGGAAAGGAATCTGGGGAAGAGCACAGCCCATATAAGAACGTAGGATGCGTCCCGATACCCGATTAGCTCACTTGTCGCACAACCGTGTATTGGGGCGCAAGTCGAGAGCCAGGAAAGAGAAATCGGCAGTTACTTCGCAGCCTCCAGAGGAAAGGAATACAGCGGCATATCTAGCTCGATGTCCGCTCCACTACGCTCTTATCCTGTTCAAGCTGGCGGCTTGATTGAACAGGGTGCGAAGTCGGTGCGGAAATTTTACCGAGTCGACACAGGAGCCCTACACAACGCCGCATAATTGTTAACGGCCTCCTCTTTGGCTGGTGTGTTGCGGGGCTCTTTCTTGGCCGACATGGGATTGACTCGTGGAGCATGCGAGTGTGGCGGGAAGATGCATTCATTGTGGTCATTTTGAAACGCCATGCTTGGCGATGCGGGACGAGAACTTTGGCGTTGCTAGCAGCTCACAACGGGTTTCGGCAGTTCTTCACTCTCTCTTTTCAAAGCTTCTCAAACATGCTAAGATGCCGCAGTTACAGAGGTCTTCCTTGGGTCAGACTAATTTCGACTGGGCGGACCGCGGTCAGATTACGGGCGTACCTACTGTGCAGGAGGACTTTACCCACAGGCTCTTCTGGATAAGCCGTACATGAACAATTCTTCTCCCGCCAGCCCGAACAGGTGGATTAGTATTTGCTGCATACATGCATACATGCACAGCAGCACTGCATGCGGTGTATATTACCCAGGTGTTCGGTATGTTTTCGTGTAGTAATCGGGGACATCCAGCAGCGGTGCCTCTGGCTTTCATACTACACGTCATAATATGCCGATGCGCATGGATAGTAAGGCCCCTGCGACCTCGGAATCCACCCGATTCCTTCGACAGCGTCTGTGTTATATACTGGTTTCCTTGTCTGTTCATGGGCGACGCAATATCGCGTTCTACTGATGCGTCCGGAGGAAGTCGAGATTTCTGAACTTCTCAGTGCAAGCGTGCGCGATAAGGTCACTCAAGTGGGCCACCTGCATGCGCGCATCTAGACAGTTCCAGCTCGGTTCAAAATAGTGGCTGCGACATGTGACCAGTCTGCTATATCGATGGAGAACGAGGTTACAGAGATGTGCGCGATAGTCTTTGGTAACCGAAGCTGTATATAGAAAAGGTGAAGTGAGACGAGCGTTGGCGGCATGGAATAAGAAGCTAGGGTCCAGCAGTCACCGCCACGTGGATGGAACCTTGGAAGGTAGGGTACGAGCCATCGACCTAGAAAAATGGCCACTTCGAAGATTAATATGATGTTGCATCAACACCATACAGGATACTGAACTTTTTGCAGAATCTCGTCTCAACGGCACGTTGTGTCCACGACCTACGACTCCACAGTTTCAACGCAATGACAACCGCTTCCCCTAATAACCCCATAAATCTCCACAGCCGTGCACCGGGAGGAATGTCCCTTCTCAGCAGCACTATCTCTGGCGTCTCCATCTCGTACCCACCAACTCCTTGATCACCTCTCTAAGCCCATCCGGTCCTCCCGACGCGTCACCTAGATCTACCCTTGGAGTCGACGATAGCTGTGTGGGGGTTTGTGGCTTCTCCGGCTTTACATTCGGTACCTGCTGCGTCACGGAAGTCGCCTCGAACGTATGAATATCCTCGGTTGCGGCTACTTGGTCCCGTGACTGCTCCTGAGCATCGCTTCGAGAAACTGAGCATCGGCAACGTCAGCTCCCCCTGCCTCGCCAGATTACTCTCCTCTATTCACAACGTTGCTGTGCGGTACGATCAAGCGACGATGCTGAGACCCGGCTTATATGATGCTGTTTTCTTGCAGATCGATTTCTTCCTCGGAATCCTATTCATCGTGCTCTAGGAAAGCTGTGCATAACTTCTTCCCAGAGCTAGAGGATTACAACATTTGCAGCTGTGGTCTATTCTTCGATTTCTCACATCAACTCACTCTGTCTGTGGGTTCATTTCTCACTTGTCTTCAGTCGTCGTGCTATATTCATGCATGCCTGGTCTCGTCCATTCACCCTCTCGATTTATGCGCTATTTGAGCTTCGGCAGCATGATCTTTAGTCAATCGTGTGTAGGCTTCGATGTCTTTGTTTCGACCTTGCGAGTGCAATTGAATGTCATGGTAAAGTATACGTGGGTACAAACATTCACGCATACTGGTCTTAAGCCTTTCCCCAGGTAAGGTCACTCTTCCTACGTTGAGCCCTCTATCTTCTTTTGTCACGTTCCTGGCCAATACGACGTATCAGAAGGTATTTACATAAGTAGTGCTTTGTTTTGTTACCTTCTCCAGTCTCATTGCATCTCTCATCATTGGAGATGAAATTGCTTCTGGCCTTATGACTACAATCGTACTAAGTCGCGAGACTAATGCATATAACTGGCGATACGACCTGATGCTTAGAATCATTGGCGAACCTACGCTGCAACCAAGATATATACGACACCCATGATCTCATGTGCAGACCTTGAATCAATACTCGACGATGATTAAGGACACGTTACTAATCAAAGGTGTGTCGCTAATAGAACATTGAAAGAACCAGTACTATTATGTGAAGCATTATCATCATAGCCGACAGTATGTCGTTCAGAAAAGATTCACTACAGGTTTTTAGTATAAAATCTTGGTGTTTGTTTCGCCGTCTCTGTCCATGCTCCGTACATCATCTGTGCATAGCCACTACTGAGCGTTTTGTTGACATACTCACCTGCCAACTCCCTGAATGAGCCCAAGATGTGCACAACATACCGTGTGTACTTCTATTGTGGACACCTCAAATCCACGACTACTCACGAACACTCCGGGGTTGAATGCACACTCAACGAAGCAAGGAGCATTACGATCAACAAGAAGTGCAAGCGCTGCATAACACGAACGTCACAGTGAAATGTACGACTGAACGGTATCTTGGATGGCGCAGAAGTACCATCGATAATCAAAGCCGAAGATGACGGTGCTGATACTGGCAATGGCTAGCATTATGGATATGTGGATGCCTGAGTCGACGTGCCTCACAGTCCGGTGTTTTACAAAAGGCTACGGGTGTTACAGGTGGTGCGTTGGATCCTATAATCGTATATTTTGGATTCGGGTCAAGATCTTACATCTTGTATTTACCAAGATATTGCCATACCTGCACTACAACATGCCTGACTCCTCTAAATCGCCCAATCCACATAAGTGTGTCGTCTTAAGTGGAGTACCTGTATAGTCAAGAGAGAAGTCTGGCGGCAATGCTGTAGTGATGTAAACTCTGCGTACAAACATTCCTATCTCTTTCAGTCTCAGCAACAATCACAGCACATAAGTGACAAGCACGCGTTGTCTATACACGAAGCGCACAACGCCTCCATCTCCTTTTTGTGTTGTATTGGGGGCATCAAGATCGGCCAGTGGACAGCGCTTGTGTTGCCGTTATCCAAACAATTGTAGCCGGCGTTGCCTCTACACCACTCTGTCTATCTGCACCAGCGACCTCGTCGCAGCTGTTCACAGCACGAACATCGGCTAGAGTTTTACACAGCTATCTGCGTTCATCTTTGTCTGCGAGGACGGCGTCCTTCCACCGTGACGCCTTTAATGGCCTGAAGTATCATGTCTGATGGTGAACAGCCGTGAGTTCCTGGGGCCTTGGAAGGGGCAGGCGCAAATGTTGCTATCAACTCGCGACAGGCTCCCGACGCATACGGAATGACCTAATGATATGTCTCTACGCGTGCTGGGAATGGCTCTTAAACTCGAAGATTATGCGGAAGGGTCGTTACATAGGGCGAATGGTTGAGGACGTATGTTGCGAAGGGCGCCGGGCAGGAACAGCGGCAGGAGCGCATAATCATGTCTTGGAGGGTGAACGCGAGGAGGAGATATAGCCGCCATAAGATATGCCTTCGTACAAGTGGCAGGTGGAATGCGCGTATGTGACAGCGACGTGTAGAACGCAAGACTGCCTCGCAGGATCCGATGCGCGGCCGCTTAGGGCCGGCTACTATCGATAAGTTCCGACGGATGTTCCGATGAACTCACCACTCTAATCCAAAGCCGCCCTCTGACTTGGATACTGCGCTGTTCAGGCCACATTACAACCATATCACGACACATTTCATCTCCCATCAATATGGCCAAAGTTGAGGGCGCGCCAGCACACGGTGCTGTAGCCCACCTCCTACCACAAACGTACAAGCGACTGGTCTCGGAATGGCTCGAGGAGGACACACCGAGCTTCGATTATGGTGGCTTCGTTGTGGGCGAGGAAATATCTGAGGCGAAATTGCTAGGGAAAAGCGAAGTGAGTATCAGCACCCTTCGTGGTGGTCTTAGCTAACATTGGCAGGGCATAGTTGCAGGCGTCCCCTTCTTCGATGAAGTCTTCCGGCAACTGGGCTGCACGTGCGTCTATCATAGTGACTCACATTGTTAGATCTGGTATTGACGTTTGATAGTGTAGAATGGCACGTCAAAGAAGGTGCCTCTTTCCAACCTGTAACTCACTGCGCCACGGTACGCGGCCCTGTCCGCCACCTCCTTCTCGGTGAGCGAGTGGCTCTCAATACGCTCGCCCGTTGCTCCGGTATCGCCACCAAGTCTAATCGTCTACTTACCCTTCTACGTGGAGCTGGCTACCCAAATATTCTCGCCGGTACCAGGAAAACTACACCAGGTTTCCGACTCGTGGAAAAGTATGGCATGCTAGTGGGTGGTGTAGATGCGCATCGAGTTGACCTGAGCGCGATGACGATGCTGAAAGACAACCACATCGTCGCTGCAGGAAGCATCACCAACGCCGTAAGAGCTGCTAAAGCGGCGGGTGGTTTCGCAATCAAAGTTGAAGTCGAATGCCAATCATTCGACGAAGCAGATGAGGCTATCGCCGCTGGTGCTGACATCGTCATGTTGGACAACTTCACTCCTGAGGGTGTTCAGGTCGCTGCCAAAGACCTGAAAGACAAATGGGGGCGAGGTACTGGAGATAGGAAACAATTCCTTGTCGAAGTAAGCGGTGGGCTTACGGAATACAACGTCGAAAAGTATGTCTGTGGGGATATTGACATTGTAAGTACAAGCAGCATACACCAAGGAGTACCACATGTGGACTTCAGTTTGAAAATTGTACCGAAGAGTAAGAAGGACGGTGGGGAAAGCTTAGCAGTATGATCAGAAGGTAGGTAGATATCAAATGTGAGTACGTATTTGGCATCTTGACTCTTAAGAACCGGCTGATTGACGTGGACCGTGATGACAGCTATGAGAAGCCTTGAGAAATCCGCCGACTTGTCGTGCAATTTCTGCTCTAATACATTTCAATCACATTAGCGCTTCCAGGCGCAGCTGCTATGCACACATCGTGTCTACCATCGATCTCATTTCACATTCACCTTCACTTCCACCACTGACCTCAAAACTCATGAACGATCTTAAATATAGCGAATGGAGACCGGAATGACCCTGTTATTGTTCGCCTATATGACAAAGAAGAATAGGGAAGCTAGGGGGCAATAGACTATTGTGCGACTGTGAGTCCAACAGCTACAGCGTTTCATCTTACCATCACAATGTCTCTTGCAGACCAACTGTAAACCACCTGCTATACTTCACGTCCATCTTCCTATCACGCAATATTAATCCCTTCAGTGGGATATAATCTTTCTTGCACCACAAACCACGTTAGCTTTCTGAAACGCACACCTCAATCATTGCCATTCGCTTCTGCAGGACAGACGCAAAGACATGCGCTCAAGAATACTCATTACTACGGTGCTGGCCGCCCTGAGCAACGCCCACGAAGATCACCAGAGTGAAGGCGGGCAGTACACACTGACCGACGACCTGACTTACAAAAAGTTCTTCTCCGCCTTTGACTTTTTCGACGGCCCAGATCTAACCAAGGGTTTCGTCAAGTACCAGAACCAGGAGAATGCGATCAAGCAAGGTCTAGTTGGCTACCTCGAGGACACACAGTCCGTGTTCATGGGCGTTGATTACACGACCAAGGACACTGCTGGCCGTGCTTCCGTTCGCCTTGAGAGCAAAAAAAGCTGGAACCATGGCCTGCTCGTAGCGGACATCCGCCATAGTGAGTATTCCCTTGCAAACTGCATGTGAGACATACACTGACTTCGTATGATTGTCTCTAGTGCCCGCCTCTCAATGTGGGTCTTGGCCGGCCTTGTGGCTTTTGTCGTCCTCGGCAGACTGGCCCCAGGGTGGGGAAGTGGACATCCTCGAGGGCGTGAACGACTACGAAAGTAACTCTGTTACCTTACATACAACCACGGGTTGCATGGTTGATAACTCGACATCAGTGAGAGGAGGATCTGGTGTAGCCGGCGATATCGAAGCGGCACCATTCACTGGTCTTATGTCTACAGACGATTGCGATGTTGCTGCGCCAGGTCAGCTCAAAAACGTCGGATGCTCTATTCATGCTCCCGAAATCATGTCTGGTATCCAAACTGGTGGTGGCGGTAACACTGACACTGGTGGTGCTGTGCCTCTTCCCTCGTACGGAACGGAATTTAACAAAGCCCAAGGTGGTGTCTACGCTATGGAATGGAGCACGATTGGAATCTCGGTTTGGTTCTTTCCTCGTGAATCTCACGGCTTCACTGAAAATTTCTCTTCAAACACAACCCTTCCCGACCCATCTCGCTGGGGCACACCTATAGCCTACTTCAGCGGTTCTGGTTGCGACTTCTCTGAGCGCTTTCGAGATCTTAAAATCATTTTTAATATCGCTTTCTGCGGTGAATGGGCAGGCGCTGAGTGGGACAAGTCTTGTGCCAAAAAGACTGGGATTGCAACCTGTAATTAGTATGTTCGCGATAACCCTGAGGTATTTAAGGAGGCATACTGGGAGGTTGCTGGATTGAAATGGTTCCAGAAGGGTGCTACGCAGAAGCGTGCTTATACTCCGGTGACAAATTTCAAGGCGCAAAGTGAGTAGTTTGCTTGTTAGCTTGGTAGATGACTCTCTATCACACTTCGCCTAGAAATCTCACATACACCTTTCACGACTGGTTCTACGCCACAAAATTCGATAGTTTATACCTGATATCGTGTGCAACACCACAGTCGATTGATGGGCTTCCGCGATCCCTCAGATGGTATACCTGAACCTGGGACTATCGTCACCCATCTCAGCAACATCCTCCTCAGCCATTCCCTCGACCAAATGCTCTTCCTCGCCCTTCTCACGTCTCGAGTTGATACGTCCAAGTTGGAACCACATAACAGCGTAGCATATACAAGCAAAACCCACCATGGCCATAGTAATTCCATGGCCCTTGATAAAGCGAGGTCGATCCGCTGTAGGATATATCTGGTTTTCGTTAGTGTACGGTTCATAGGCAGTCTAGGAGCTGAAGAGAAACTTACAAAAGCACTCATGATGCCCGCACAATTACCAATACTCAACTGCAATCCCGTTGCGGTTGTCCTCTTTCCGTATCGCGGCAGATTCGTAGGAAGCCAAGCCAATGGCAAACCAACACAAACATACAGTCCCATGGCGACGAGGAAACAACCCGCGTAGTGAACGCCAGAGCTCGCATCGCTGATCAACATGGCGTAACCAACAATACTAACCACGCCAAGCAAGATACTGTAGAATCCGCGCTTTTGCTGTTTGTCCGAGAAACGCGCAACAACCAGGTACGTAATCGCACCCAGTGCGTAACACGGAATAGTAAGGACTTGTATCATCGCGCTGCTAGCGGTGGTGTTGATCGACCTGATAATAGTCGGCAAGAAAGTAGAGTAACCGTAAAGCATGGTATCACTCCCGAACTGTGCGAAGCAGAATACCCAGACCTTCCAGTCCTTGACGCACTTCCTCACATCGTCCCAATGGAACTCTGCTGCCTTCTTGGTGTACCCAGTTTGGCGCTTGAGACGAGCTGCAGCAAAAGCCTTCTCCTCGGCAGTGAAGAAATAGGCCGTTTCTGGGGTATTGGGAAGAATGAACCAGGTTGCGATACCTAGGGCAAAAGTAGGAATTCCTTCTAATATCATGATCCAGCGCCATCCACGCAGACCGGCTGTGCCGTCCATGTGCCCAATTGCATAGGCAAGGAGACCACCGCATGCTCCAGCAAGCGCAGCGGAGACGAAGAGGTATCCGATGCGCAGGGCGAGTTCGCGTTTGGTGTAGAAAAACGTCAGGTAAACGGCCATTCCAGGGAACAGACCTCCTTCAACAGCACCAAGGAGCAGACGACATGCGATCAAGCCACCGTAGCTCTGTACGATACCAGTCAAGGCCGCGACGATACCCCACGCGACGGTGATGAATGCTATCCATCGCGAAGGCGTGAGTTTCTTCAAGACCAAATTCGACGGCACCTCAGAGAGAATGTATGTTACGAAGAGAATCGAAACTGCAGTCTGAAACTGAGAATCGTCCATATTAAGGTCTTCCTGTAGACCATAGAGTCGCGCATTGCCGATGTTGACTCTGTAGTCGCGTTAGTGGGCTTCTCGAGCGAGTCATCAACTTCCAAATTCCAAATCCATCAGAAATTGTGTTTCTTCGTCCCTATGCTCCAGTCGAAAAAGCAGTGTAACAAGCAAGAAAATCCCAAAACTGACCGATCGAGGAAACTGAGCAGATACAGCAGCATTACCACCGGGATAACGAAAAGATCAAGCTTGCGAACAATTTTTGCTTCGAAAACTGGATCAACACTTTCCAGCTGTGTGCCCAATTCATCGCTCTCTTTCTCAGCATCTGGCACCGCTGGGTCGTACTGTTTCTCGATATCGCTCATGGTGTCGTTACGCGTTCGCGTCTAGTTCCTCGGAGAATTAAAACGACGATGATCGATGATTCGACGCGAGGGGAGGCCTGTCGCGTTGACTTTGCAGTTGCAAAGCGTTGTTTGAGGAAAGTATGATGAACGAGTGGCAGCGTCCCGTGTATTATCGCGTCTAGCCAAAGGGCTGATATGTCATCCTGTCGCACTCCAACGTTTTGCCACGAAAGGGAAATGCTCATGCTTTAAATTTGTCGGCTTCGACATCGGACGAGTCTGCAAGGGCCCACTACTGGACGACAATGCCGGCGGGCAGATCTATGGCGGGGGGCTGGAGCCAATGGAGCACAGAGCTAGCTGTTTGTGGTATGACGTTGACGGCTACCCTACCTGTAACACAGATATGGCCGCTGGGCAACTGATAACGAACCACACGTTTCCCTGGTTCGATGTTTGCCAATTTTCCAAGGTTGGGGGAGATGTCAGACGAAAGATGGGGGTGCTCGCGTGCCTCTTGCGTGAGGTGGTGTAGACGGTTGTCTTCCTGCTTTGACGTCTTCATCGCATTAGCCCGCTGTCAAGTATCGCTTAGGCAATGCGATTAGTCCTTAGTCGTACGTTCAACCAAACAAACAATGTAGCAGGAGCTGGAGACGTGATTGCATCATATTGCGCATTGTTGTGCAGATCAACGCTGATCTGGAAACAGCTTCTTTAATACCAGCTCATCATCTATCGAAGCTGTTCAAGCGGAGATTTGTGTTCGTAACCAAATAGGTCTCTTTACACCAGCTCAGACGACGTCAACGACGAATAGCTAAAAGACGTCGCATCCCAATCGATAGGAAGCTCGATACCAGAGTAGATATCGATCTGCGCCGAAGGATTAACTGGCCACACCAATTCATCACGCGCCAAGTCGATCTCACCTCCCGCATATTCCGCATCCATGGCCGCGGTATCCTGGGTGCAGGTACCGGAAATACACGACCGTGCAATAGCCCGAACCTCCTTTGCCATCTTCTTTCCGAGAGGCCAGAGAGTCGCCATTGTGTTGACGAAGCCGATACTCAGACGGACACGATCCCGTCCGATCGACAGCGCATGTCCATCCAATATGTAAGTGCACGCTGACACTTGTACGGCAGCAAGTTGTGAGGTGATGCACATGGTGAAGATGTTATGCTTTTCGAGGGCGCATGGGATTGCAAGGAGATTGGTGTGGATCTCTGTCGCTTTGAGTACACGTGCGGTATGTGCGTTTCGTCCAGCTTTTGGCGCAAGTGTGAAGGGAGACGGTGCTTGGAAAGCTTGCGTAGTCATCTCCTCCGGACAGTATCCCAGTGACGAGAAAGGCCGATGCAGCGCAGAGATAGTTCTGTCTTGGTCAGTATATCGATAGTAACACATGAAGGGGTCAACAACATTGCAGCACACATGTGTGCCATAAACCTAGAATAAGTACTATCAGCTACCATCCTTAGGTTACATTTGTTGGCTGTATAGCATACATCACCTCATCTACTTGGCCGTTTAGTCGAAGTGGATCCTTCTTGCAAGCCGGAAGCAACGATGACCAGATCGCGAGTTTCGTGTCGCAGTTCTCAACCAGGGCCTCGTTTACTACAGCAGTGTCGAGAAAAGTGTTCATGACTGATATCGTCAGCTCCTAAGCCACGGCCATTCTCAGTCATTAGATGAGGTAGGTGACTGTTGCCTATCAAGCGTGCTTACCAAAAGCGATGACCATGGCAATGTCATAAAGATACACTGTTGACGAATAGACCACCTCAATCTCTGCAAACTCACGAACTTGGTACTCAGCCCATGTCACTACAGGCGGTATGTTCTGCTCATATTAGCCTATCGACCATGATGTCATGCCATTCCAACGTACTCCTGATTCAAAATACTCATCATCACACGGTAAATCAACCGTGTTTGGTATAAGAAGCAACGAATAGAAGGGCGTATTTGTGACGACGGCGAGATGCTGATCCACGATGCAAAGGATATAATACGTCCGTCTCCAACACTCTTCCAGCACTGAATCGTTCTCACCGTACGCTTGAGCAAAGTCTCTTTCGTTCATATGAAGTTCCAGTGCCATGGCGGTACATGTGCTGAGTTTCTTACGAGCTTCGGCTCTATTATCGCAATGGAACTCGGCAAGAGCGAAAAGCATCAGCGCCTGCACATTGAACGGCGTATGCGTAAGGTTCGGTGATGTAATGGCCTCCAGAGCTGTCATATAGTAGGGCTCTGATGGTGTCCAGGGCGCGTAGATTGAGCCGATCCATTCTAAGACAGATAGAAGGGTGGTTATCCCATGGTTATCTTGTAGACGCCTCGACTGTAGGTAATGCAAAGGCAGGACGATTGGGAAGGGAGGCCAGAAGTATTCGAAGTATAACTCTAACAGTCGATTTTTGTCGACTTTAAACGCCACATGATTGTGTTGGTTCTGAGAGGGCACGACTGGTATGGAATCATCTGCTGAGCTGCTAGTGGGCGTCCCTAGACTCGATTGATCAGATGACGATATTGCCGATGTTTTGTGCTCTTCGCTGAAACTATCATCGCGTTGGGTCGCTGAATGCTGTGGATTCCTAGCCTCCTGTTGCAGTCGCAAGCGTCGTTCCGCAAGTGCAGCCTTATTCAAGCCTCCTCTTCTGGATTTCTGATAGACACATTCTTTCCCGTCGCGCCTGCACCTACTGCAAACTGGTTGTGTAGAGTCGCATTTTACGTGTCTACTGCGACACTGTACGCATGCCAGCACTACCCGGTCGATGCGTTTCGAATCGGACGATGATTCCATCCTCGGGCGAAGATGACGCGAAGGCTGCTACAGGGTCTTGATTGTAGTTTGGAGCAATGTCATAAACAACCACCCTGCACGGCAGTGCGATGAGAAAATCAAAAGTCTTTCCCGTACCAAACTTGATACGAAAGGACAAAGAGATAAGCACCATTCTCAAGGCTTACCGAACTGGCTGTACACTGTGACACCTTTCTAAGCTGGAGACCGCGCCTGCCGAGGCGGCAAGGGTCAGGCGTGCATTTGGGGGCCGGTCCTTGGGGCCTTAGCATAACCAAAAGTCGTGAATACGTGCTGGTAGTGGTTAACAAGTATGATCACATATGGCACGGCACGTAGGTTCAGCTATGCAACACGTAAAGTGCCGTCATTATCTCCGTACATTCGCAAGCCTTTCTACCCTACCATAAACTAGAAATAATTGCACTAATAAGTCCACATGCAGCCTTCATGATACGACAGGCCAACGTAGCAACATCCAAATCGGGTCTCAATGCCAAACATGTAATCATATGCGTTCCAGACCTGACGGGCATAATCCGTACCAGCTGGGGATTGTCGCTTTTCCATCGTGTATCTATAATTGAAGGTGAGAAAGCAGTGGGGACAAGCTGCGAGCCTATCGCAGCTTGCCATGTTCCTGGGCCTCTTTGACTTGTTCAAAGACCTGCAATATCATGTTAGCTGTCTGGACTCTGCAATCTCGGATCATGTGGTATCGCATACCTTTAGCATCTTTCTACGCGCACCGAGAGCGTTGACGCCACGCTTCTCCAAGCCTTCGTCATCGAGCTCGATAAGCTCCTGCCACTTGAGATCCTTCAGGTTATCTGTATACTTGTGCAAGCGGAGACTCCGAAGCCAGTTGGGAATGTCCGAAAGCAGTCCAGGGTCGGTAGGGTCCTCCGGAGGCTTCGAGCTGCCGCGACGGCCTCGGGGAGATCGACCGCGATCAATGTTGTCACCAAGGAAGCCATGGCCATCATTGCTGCCGCCAGCAAGGCCGAACTGAGCGAGGTTCAACGCGCCCATGCCGTTGTTCATCATACCACCACCGTAGTCGGCAGCCAAGAATCCGTTGGCCTGAGGCGAGGTAAAATTACCCATGGCACCCATACCCTGGCCCTGCATCGCGAAGCCAGGGGAGCTAGGGCGAGATCGGCGACCTTGCATAGCGGCCAATTGTTGGGCCTGAAGAGCAGCCGCCTGTTGTGGGGTCAGTACCTGACCCAGCTCATTGGTCATGAGAATATTTCCATTGCCCATCTGAGGCATGCCAGGGGACATGGGCCCGTTGTCCGAAGATCGGGCACGGCGGAACTTGCGCACATCATCCAGCTGGATGCGATTGTTAACAGTGGACAGGGCAGCCAGTTTCATAGCAGTGGCGTTGGCTACCATATCAGCCTGGTTGTTAGACTGTTGGAAGTTGGCGACCATGGGAGTGCTCAATTGAGAGGCCCAGCTACCACCTGGGGCGTAAGAGGGCGAAAGAAGTGGCATGTTGGAAGAGTTGGCCTCGAGCGCGTTCAGTGTAGTGGTCTGCACATTGTTGCTATCGTTCTGGAGAGGGAGGCGAGGCGAGCGGAGACCGGCAGATGGAGGTGGTTGAGAGAACTGGCCCATTGGCGGCTGCTGGTGTTGCTGCTGGCCAGAAGACTTGGGGCGATTCGCGCTCTCGTTCCAGGGTGATGCTGGCGGAGCATTGTTCTCCCTCTTGTTATCTTCGGGAGCAGAGATGGTGGGAGCTGCCAGGGAGCTGCGGTCTCCGACGGTGCTATTACGGTTGGACGCCGGCGCAACGCCGACCACATCGGTGAATTCAGCCTTCTGCTTGGCGATAGCAGCCGCGGCGTCCGGGAACATGCGGTTGATCTGGGATGTCTCCAAGCCCGAGTTGCGTTTTCCAGCACCCGGGGATGGCGGAGGACGACCGAGACCCATGGAATGACGGTTTTCACCCGTGCTGAGCTTGCTCATGGCATCGCTCAGCTTCTGTGTCATGGGATCTGGCGCATGTCAGCATGGGGAGGACGTTGGAGAAGTTATCTGACTTACCCTTCTCTCCAAAATTGGCAGGGGACAGAACTCCAGACATGGGCACATTCTTGGACATCTGCTGCAAGACTTGGATAAAGAAGCGAATCTGCACCTGCGTCGTCTGCTGCAGCAGAGCATAGAGCGCTGCAGTTCTCTCGGCCTCGCTGAGGACGCGGAACCACTGCTCTATAGCGCTCAGCTCGTCCTTGAAGTCCTGGTCGAGGGTCGCGGTCGCCATCTCTTCGAGTGTGGTTTCATACTGGTCGATGTCGGCGAGCCACTGCTGAGCAGCGCGTTCCATTTCGTCCGGGTTACCCGACTGTGTGTTGTTGCGACCAAAGTAGATTTCGGAAGCGGGACGAATACCACGGTTGGCGAGAGGGGAGGGGAAGCCGCCTAGATCAGCGGAGGCACGGAGATGGTGGTTGGCACCGAGGGAGCTTCGGGCCTGGGGTGGGCGGAGCGAGCTGGAACCCTCGGGGGTGCTGTTCCTGTTCGCAGCTATATGGCTGGCAGACATGGCGGCGGTGGGCGTGGGAAACCGTGAGTTGCAGTGGGGAGGTTGAAATTCTGGCCTCTGGTCAGTATGGTTCGGGCGGATACAAGTCATGGCATGCCGGATGCTGGCAGACGTACAGTGTGGGTAGCCGAGTACACGGGTGGCGGTAGTAATGTGTGCACACGAGTCCTGCAGTCCCAGCTGTGCCTCAAAGGACGTCGAGTTGCGAAATATCAGGGGAGTTCCAGTTTCGCGGGAGGGCTGATGGGTGCAGGGGATGCGCTTGGCCGGGATGCACGGGCAAGCAGCGCAACAAGAAGAAACGGCGTAATATATCAAGGTACAGAGAAGGGAAACGTCAGCGAGAGAGAGGTGGAAGAGCGGAAGAGCTCACTGCAAGACGTGAAGGGGGAGGACGGTGTCAAGGTCTCATCGCTCGAAAAGGCGTTGGTTTGTTGCTAGCGCGCAGCCAATCACGGAACCCTGCGTCAAGGCTGAGGCAATGGCTCGATTGTTCTAGCGCTGGTGCTCACCTGTTACAGACAGATGGGGCAGACATGCCTACAAGCTGTCTGCTTGCATGCCTTTGGTCGTCATCTCCGACTGTCTTAGCGATGCAGCTTGTCATGGCTGCCTGTGAATCCCACGAGCGTCTGTGGAACATATCTCCGCACACCAGCACCACTCCACTCCACACACCCACCGAACGACATGGCACCTTTGCTGTTTCGAGCCAGTGCAAACGCTCAGACACACACTCGTTAGCAGCCGCTCCATGCTAGGCTGTCAGCAACAGAAGCATACGTAGCGCACCCTTTCTGTAACAGCTTCTCTGCCGTGTCCTACTGCTTATTGGCGAGCCGCGCCGTCAAACGCCCCGAGAAACAAAAGAAATTCTTCCCGAGACGCGTTCATGCACCGACTGTAGCTAAAGTTAGTCGTTCGGAACCACGGCCACAGAGGTCGTGCGTCTTCAAGTCGTGTTCCATCATTACAGGAGTGTCGTCGATGCCTGACTGGGGTCCACTTATTGCCTGATCAGCCATCCGATGCTCGGCAGGTACATGCACTAACGGTAGAAGCTACACGCCCTGGAGAGCACTACTCCAAGCATGTCTGATAGAGACAATTACTACATACTACTTGTCATGATAGAAAATCGCACCAAGACGAGCAATGTTGCCCAATTAAGATTTAGCCTTCGATGACATTTGAACTATTTTCCTCACAACACCCACCAAATGCTCCTCGTGGTAACCGTCAATCATGGTCAACCAGTATCCAGAAGCGACTCGTCCGAAGCGCTTGATTGGTGGAGGAGCCCTCATCCGTAGTTGAGTGTGTTGAGTCAAAGTGCAAAGTACCGCTAAAGCTCATATTGTACTTGCACAGCGCACGGTCGTCCATGTTTGGTCAGTCGGGCTTATCGTGTCCCATGATGTCGAGGATCTCTTCAGTATCCATTGCCTGCTGCCAGGTGTGGTCAACCTCCGGGTTCACGGATGATCACATTGTGGAGTTATGGGTCCTAGGCGGTATCTCGAACGGAGGCTGATAAACAGGTGTTCTCGTAATGACAGGGAAAAGGTAGACATTCCTGGAGATACTAATGCTAAGGCAGGTAAGATTGTCTCAGCCATCGTGATAACGCTCTCAGCCGGAACATCCACGTCAAGAGGCTGCTTGTTGTTCAATAGCACGTCGCCAGGCGAAGATGGCGTATTCCATTCCTGCTCTTCTGATTCCTGCTCTTCTAGGTTAATCTCATCGTCATAGCTGCTGTTATAGTCGTGATCGCTGTCGCTGTCGTTGGGAGACATAACTGTAAGAGCGCCAGGCTAGAAGTCGCGTGGCACAAGTCTGCCTTCTCTAGAGATCCACTAATCTGAATCGTTATGAGTTATACTCCGGAAGTAATCCCAAGTCCCATTGGCCGACCATTAGTTCTTACTGCTATGCGTAACCGGACAGGAGAATCCTTGTGAGAGATCCAGGACGATTCCTGCTGTGAATAATATTGTGAGATTTTCGTGGTGGATGCAAAACTTTTCTTGGTTGCAATGGGTATCTTCTTATTTTACATCTGCCGTACTCCGGTCTCATGACGACGCCGCCGCTTGTTGCGATTGCTGTGCCGCCGACTGTATCTGGATAATCTGACTCATTTGTTAACATTACACGCAACAAGACGCATCCAGAAAGCATACCTCGCCCTTGATCTTCTCGCTCTTGTCCTGTATTCCCTGGATCTGCTTCTCGATATCCTTGCTGCTTCCAGTCAGAAAAGAAACTCTTCCGTCTCAATCAGTCCACCTACATCTGCTTGTCGATGAATTCGAGGCGGCCATTAACCGACATGACGGCCTCTGTCTTGTCCTGCTTCAACAGTACTGGTCCGATCTGCTTGTAGATGTTCGCATCGTCGTCGAGTATGTCAAATTCCTGTCGTAGCAGCGATAAGTACGGGTTCCGACCTCGTGTGCGTAGAGTCCCACCTTCTTGACCGTACTGTTCTCCTGCTGTTGTGATTCGAGCTTCTGGCGTGCTTCTACTGCAGTTCCGAGCTCTGTTCCGAGATTAACCAACGAATTCGTAAGCAGAGCGAATGCCTTACCGGCCTGGAGGCCCTGGTAGCTGTCAGATAGTGCCTGGAGCTTCTTTTGCACGTCTGCCATGGCTTTGGTGATGCTGAGTAACGCGTTACAGAAAGTTGGCCTCAGTCTTGTACGGAAGTCGCGAGTGGGATGCTGAACTTTCTCAATGCAGTTAGAAGTAACGCGGGGCTAGGTAGGTGCCTTGGCCGTACCTAGAACGACGGTCACCTCCAGCGCTCTTGTGTACGACTGCAAGCCTGGTTTCGACAAGCCGATTCCGAGTCACTTTCCGCTCAAGAACCGTCGCCCTCAGCTGCCTTCTCCTTCCTTGCCTCACACAGTCGCCCCGACCTCGCGAAACCATAGGCAAACAACACGCGATTGCCCCACTCAGATCGCCCTTCGCCGCTCGTACAATCATCCTTCACAACTCAAGCGGCGCGCGCTCCAGGATTCACGCTCGCTGAAGCCTCCACGAATCTTCCATCTTAGCTATGAGTAACGCCGACTTTCTCGGCCGGGCCATCGAGACGGTCAAAAAGGCAATTGAGACGGACACGGCAGGAGAATATGAGAAGGCATATCAGCTGTACTACAGCGCTCGTCAGTAGCCTCATGTATAGCCCATATGAACTTGTGCGCTGACTCCTTACGCAGTTGAGCTTTTCATGCTCGCTCTCAAATGTACTGTGACCGTCCTTACGGAACCGACAGTGATGCTAATACTCAGCAGGGGAGAAGAACCAGAAGTCCAAGGACATGATCCGCGGCAAGGTGGCCGAGTACATGGAGCGCGCAGAGAAGCTCAAGCAGCATCTGAATCAAAATGACGCCTCGAATCGCAAGAAGCCAGCAGCTATGGGATCCAATGGCAAATCAGCAGGCGGAAGTGGAAAAGGCGGAGGGTATGCATTCCCTCCGCACACAAAAAGCACCAATTCCCACACTAACTTCTAATAGTGACGAGGATGAGGGCGAACAAGACGCCGACTCCAAAAAGCTCCGCGGTGCGCTCGCAGGCGCCATTCTTTCCGAGAAGCCCAATATTCGATGGGAAGATGTAGCAGGTCTGGAGATGGCGAAAGAAGCACTCAAGGAAGCTGTCATATTACCCATCAAGTTTCCGCATCTGTTTACTGGGAAGCGACAACCATGGAAGGGCATATTACTCTATGGGCCACCTGGTACGGGTAAGAGTTACCTGGCAAAGGCGGTCGCTACCGAGGCGAATAGCACATTCTTTAGTGTCTCCAGTTCCGATCTCGTCAGCAAGTGGATGGGTGAATCAGAACGGTGGGTCAAAACAACATGTGTTGATGCGAAACGGCAACTGACACTATACCAGACTCGTAAAACAACTCTTTGGCATGGCTCGCGAGAACAAGCCTTCGATCATCTTTATCGATGAAATTGACGCCCTCTGCGGACCTCGAGGTGAAGGAGAGTCGGAAGCATCGCGACGTATCAAGACGGAACTGCTAGTGCAGATGGACGGTGTAGGCAAGGATTCCAAGGGCGTGCTCATTCTCGGCGCAACCAACATCCCCTGGCAACTCGACTCTGCCATTCGACGACGATTCCAGCGCCGAGTCCATATTTCACTGCCAGACACCCCTGCTAGGATGAGGATGTTTGAGCTCGCAGTCGGTAATACGCCTTGCGAGCTGAATCAAGCCGATTACAAGAAGCTGGCGGAGCTCAGCGAAGGGTATTCTGGATCTGATATTTCCATTGCAGTACAAGACGCGCTCATGCAGCCTGTACGACTGATCCAGACGGCGACACACTACAAGCCTGTCCAGGTAGACGGTCAAACAAAGTGGACACCGTGCTCACCTGGCGACCCACAAGCGGAGGAGAAGTCATGGACAGACCTGGATGGCGATCAATTGCTTGAGCCGCCTCTCAAGGTCAAGGATTTTGTCAAGGCAATCAAGGCTTCAAGACCGACTGTTAGTGGCGAGGATTTGAAGCGCAGCGCCGAGTGGACAAAGGAGTTTGGTAGTGAGGGCGCGTAGCTGGGCTGTTGTTGTCTAAAAAGACGGTGCTATATACTTTCGAGGCGCTTTTGGTGTTTATATCCCCTTCTGGCATAGCGATTCCAGGCCGTAGATGGACCGGCCGGCGTTGATGCTTCAAATACACGATCAACTTGAGCTGTTCTTCCTTGACTATTTTGCCAACTACATTTATCCTAATCCAGCCTCGTTTTGATAGTCGTTGGGAAAAATCAGCATACTGCAATGGATCACCATGGTACATGATACAGGCTGTTAAGTAATGGTAATTTACTTATTTACACTAAGCCAGACCAGCCGAGTCTAATCGATAGCATAATCGGAGTGGATGAGGGGATGAAGGGGAAACATTTGGGGGGAATCTGTGTGAAACAACCTGACCTAACCTAACCAAAACAAGCATCCCGCCGCAAAAACAATGCCATTCTACACTTCGCCAGCCTTAGGAATCATGACGAGGCTCAGAGATCCTCACGGCATTTCCTTGCATCGTGTCTTCATGCTAGTGTGCTCATGTCACAATTCCAAATCGAACGCCGCTCATGCATCGTGTCCCATGTGAATTTTTCTCCACAAGTCCGTAAAGTTGATCGTCCGAGAATGGCCTACTCAGCCTCTAGCTAAAGTAGACTTGCGCGGTACGCTGCTGCTCCGGTGTCAGAGTCGCTGCAGCTTGACCGAGATCGGTGCTAGTCGCCTGAATGAGCGCCTTGACGGATGCGACGACGCGGTTCGCAGTCTGCCCTTGCAGAGTCTCGGCCTCGAGAGCTTGCACAACGTAGTTGAACACCTTTGCAGGCTGGGAGAATACGGCCTGGTTTTGCCTGTTTAAAAGTTAGCGAAGTTCCCTTGCGTATCCTGTCTGACACGTAGACGTACTGTTCAATCAGCTGGGACAAGAAGGCATACGCGTATGGCGTAGCCTCCTCGTCGTTAGTAATTGGAAGGGTGTCGATCCAGGCTGCAGCCACGCTATCCCAATTGGCAACCTTGCTTGCGTTGTAGTGTAGGATCTTGGCGATCGCAGCCGATGCATTCTCTGTCGCAAAAATATCGTCGTCCGCGCGGGCATTGGGCCTCTGTGTGACTTGGAAAAGTGTCTCTAGGGAAGCAGCAACAAATTCTGACCAGTTCTCTCCACCCTTGTGAGCGGCGACACCAACACCATATACTGCCGCCTGGCGATTAGCAGGAACATCGTCTTGCATACCGTCAATCAGGGGTTGGATGATTTGGTCTTTGTATTGCCACGACTCTGGGCCGCAGAACTCCAGCACATCGTCGTAGATGCAAATCGCCCATTGGCGTTGAGTAGGGTCGGGGTTGACAACAGCCATGCTGTAGAACTCGATCAAACCTGCCCAGTGAGGCAAGAACGATGTACCCATGGTCTTGAAAATGCTGTGGAATGCCTTGTTCATGTCTGACAAAAGGTTTTGGTCATCTTCGATCGCGAAGAGAATATCTTCCGAGGCTTCCTCACCATCTTCGTTTTCGGCTTGCTCCTCTAGACGTTCTTTGACGCGGATGTTGTAGTCTTGAAGCACAGTCCTAGCGGACTCGATGAAGGTGGTCATGTGTGCATCCGACAAGCAGTTGCGGCCGATGCACTCGAGGCACTCGTAGAAGCACTGGTACATCTCGGCAAGAGTGTCAATGGCAGGCTCAGTGCTGAGAACTTCAAGGACGCGCTCGACAGTACGTCCCCAGAGTGCACCCAGCTCTGCCGATTCGGGACCGTGGGCCTTCTTGTATGCATTCAACAATGCCGGGACACATTTGGCGGAAGCGACTCGTACGGGGTCGTGGAAGAAGAAAGCTAGACCTGGAAGGGCAATCTTCTCCATGATATCGTTCACGTAGGGCTCGAAAGCATCCTCTAGCACTTGCGCGTAGATTACGATGAGCTCGATAGCCATGTGCTTGTCATCGAGGATGCTGGTCTTGATTCCAATAACCTTGCCCTTGAGCGGAACCAATTCCCAGCCTTCTTCATCTTGAATCTGAGCAACCTGTTCCTCGTCATCAAGCAGCTGAATGTCAGCCTTGGCTCCAGCAAGCTCGGTCAGTGGCGGGATGACACCGGCGAGGAAAGGAACAAACTCCCGTCCTAGCACACGACACATGCGGCCCCAGCAGTGAAGCAGGTATGAGGCTTGCGGGTCATCAGCCTCGGAGACGCTGTTTTGAATCCGGCCAAGCAGTTGTACAAGGTTGAGCGCGTCCTGGCCCATACGGTCCTTTCCAACAGCCAGAGCAATGAGAGTTGCGCACTCCATAGCCTTGGCACGAAGAAGTCTGTATTCCTTCGACTGTTCCTCTTGTAGAACGTTGAATAGAAGAGGCATAAGGGTATCGTAGTACTTGGAAAAGGCAGCCTCTGCAGAATCCGCAACAGTGGCAATAGTAGACAATGCTTGTTCCTGCACAAAGCGCTTAGGGCTCTGCAAAAGCATGAGCAAATGGTTAAGCAGCTGGTCAAGATATGGCTCAAGGATGTCCTTCTCAGCCTCTTCGCAGAAGTTGACGAGAGCGGCAGCAGCGTGCGCTTGCACACGAGGCTCTGAAGATTCCAGGACTGGGATGATGTTTGGCAGGACGACCTGATGGTACTTCTCCTGCATGGTACCAGCAAAGTCGGTCGACATCTGGCCGACGGCGTTGCAGGCAGCCCATCGCACACGAGGATGGGGGTCTCGGAGCGCTGGCAGGACGAGATCCAGCACCTTGTCTAGCTCGCCAACCATCAATTCACGGCATCCCTCAGAGATGGCTGATATAGCCATGAGAGCTGCGTGTCTGTCGCGCCACGCTGAAGAGGTCATCATGCGAGGTAGCCAGTTGAAAGTCGGGGGAAGAATGGCTTGTCCGCCCAGCTTGTTTGCCAACCTATCCATGCACTGCTCTCCCGCGACATGATTTGAATCGGATTCTTCGTCCAAGTCTTCAGAAACATTCCATTCTTCAGCGTCATCGTCATCGGCACCAACGTCGGTCATCAGAGACAGACATTGGGTGACCATGTCGTTGGTGAAGTTGGCATCCTTCTTGCACATGAGAGGAGCGTTATCGGCGAACGTGGCCATGAGTTCCAAGGCGTTCTGCCGGGCCGTCTCTCCCAAATCCTTGTCCTGAATAACGGAGATGCTGAACTGGACGAGGCTGTTGAACAGAGGCTTGAACATCTTGGGCGCGACTTCAGCAAGATCGATGAGCGAGACGAGGGCCTTGGAGAGGAGCTCTGCATCGCCAGAGTCCTTGATGGGTGGCAGAATGTTGAGAATCTCTCCGATGAGAGAGTAGTACTTGGACTGGGCCTTCTTGGTGATGGAGCGGAAGAAGGACGCGAAGGCTTCAACGGATGCGATGCGGACCTGTAAGGTGTAAGCTGAGCATGACCATGTGCATGTGGGAAGCGTACCGATGTCTCGCTGTCGGCAAAGCCGCCCTTGAAGGCAGTCATGACCACATCTTCGTGCTGCTTCTCGATGATCTGCGGGGTTGTCGAGAATATCCTGAAGGCGTTCTCGCGTTGCGCGGGGTCTGCGGACTGGCTGGCCTGGAACAATGCGCCCAGTAGCTCCGGCCATGCAACGCCTAGGTGGTTTTAGACATGTTTGTGTGAGATGTGCCGTTTCCTCGTACCTTCATCTGTGTGCTGGCGAGCGAGCTCGGCTACGGCATCTCCAACCTTTGTGCGTACTGAGTTGTCGGTCTCATTGGCGAGGCACTGGAGGAGCTTTGCGCGTATGGCTTCGCGCTCGGGGGCATTGAGGGTCAGGAAGAGGTCGGCCGTCTGACCAGAGGGCGCCTTTCGCGGTTTCGACGACTGTCGCCTGAAGATGACGGCGGCGAATGTCCGTGTCTAACATGGCTTGTAAGCTAAGATGCACGATTTGCACCGGATCAACGGCGTACTGAGGTGTCTTGGGCCAGCTCAATCTGCTCCGAGAGGCCCATCAAGAGCACTTCGGGCCTCTGGGCAACCCATTCGTCGTTCAACTGCTGCTCGGCGGCTGTACGCTGAACATTATCGGGCGACTGGAGACCCTGCAGCAGGGTGGCCAGCGCGGTGTGCACCTCAGCAGGGAGGACAGACATGTCGTATGCGTGTGTTTGTCGTGTGTATCGTGGGGTGCGGCCCCGGTTCGGTGTGTTGTTGTTCGCAACGGAGTGAGGTCGCTTGGTCGGTAGTGCCTGCGGAGCGCGTGTGACGTGGTGTTTCTAGAGTCGCGCCCCTACTGCCGTCGAAATGTGCAGAAGCAGCGTGTGCTATCTTACAGACGTCCGTCGGCGGCTGAATCTGGGGCTTTGTGTGGTCTGATTTGGGGGGGTTGCCGTAGAAATAATTTCATTCACCAACTGTTTTGGCGGGGCTGGCTTCGCGAATCCGCCTGTCCAAAAAAACAAGGGTGCGTGGAGAGTGCAACCCCACCATGCCATTGGCTATTGTGCCTTCTCACCGACTGTACGTGACTGAGTGCAAGCCGACCCTTGCAGCCTGCAACAACACTAAGAGTACTCGTGTCTATATCAAGAGGCACTTGGAGACTCGACCTTGACACGGGCTGTCTTGCACTTCCTTATTCTGCGCTGTTGTAGGCTGTAGGGTAGTAGTCTGTCTAGTCTCTACGGCTGCGTGCATGACCTCTTTGCAGAGAGGCAGCTTCGTGCAAGACTAGATGCAAAGCGCAAGCAGTATGCGCCAGACAGTGTCCGCCCGAGTAGCAGTGACGTGAGCTAGGTGTTTAGGCCTGGTAGCCTGCCGTGTGCACATTTCCCATGTTGACTGTCAAGTCAAAGAGGGAGTAGCGGTCTGGCCCCGGCGCTTGCTCCCTCGCGTTGTTTTCCGTACCCTGGCAACCACGTCGACATCCGATTTCCCTTTCCCCCACCTGCCAGCAAACTGCTTTTTGACCAGGAGCTTGGTTCGTAAGCCCACGCCATGTCGCATACCGGTACCATGCGGGGGACGCCCAAGCCCTCGAACCGCAACCAGCCCCAGCAATTCCCCCACAGCCCATCGGGGATTCCACGACCAGCTCTCGAGACTCATGCCTCTCACGTTGCCCAGAGCGAAGCGGGCGGCTCTGGGCTCAGCGCCAGCCGCGCGAAGATGTCGAAGCGCGACGACGTAAGCTGCCCTGCTTGCCATGGACAACCACATACTCATCTCGTGTTTAGGCCATTCGCCGAAAGATCGAAACCGACCTGAACAAGAAGAAGAACCCCAGCGGCCGAGTGCGACCCTCCAAGAAAGCCCCGCCTGGCACTGTCCTCGCCCTGAAGCCCTCCCCCGCGCTCCAGATCAAGCCCTCTACCTCAGTCGCCGAGGCGGCTCAATTGATGGCAGCTAAACGAGAAGATTGCGTGCTGGTGACCGATGACGATGAACGCATAGCAGGTATCTTCACTGCTAAGGACCTGGCCTTCCGTGTCGTTGGCGCTGGAATCAAGGCTCGCGATGTCACCATCGAAGAGATCATGACCAAGAACCCCCTCTGCGCAAAGACCGATACGAGTGCGACCGATGCTCTGGATCTGATGGTCAGGAAGGGCTTTCGTCATCTTCCAGTCATGGACGAGAACCACGACATTTCGGGTATCTTGGATATTACCAAATGTTTCTACGACGCCATGGAGAAGTTGGAGCGCGCCTACAGCTCTTCGCGCAAGTTGTACGATGCTCTAGAGGGTGTCCAGGCCGAGATGGGCTCCAGCCAGCCGCAACAGATCATCCAGTACGTCGAGGCTATTCGTCAGAAGATGTCTGGGCCTACACTCGAGTCTGTTTTGACGGGACTCCCACCCACCACTGTTTCTGTGCGCACCTCCGTCAAGGAAGCTGCGTCACTGATGAAGGAGAACCATACCACGGCCGTCCTGGTACAGGACAACGGATCCATCACCGGTATCTTCACCAGCAAGGATGTCGTCCTCCGCGTTATTGCCGCAGGGCTCGACCCCATGACTTGCAGTGTTGTACGAGTAATGACACCTCATCCTGACTTTGCGCCCATGGACATGAGCATCCAGTCTGCTCTCCGCAAGATGCATGGTAAGTATTCCAAATGCTGAGTGAGCTGAGTAACCGCTAATGTTCTGCAGATGGGCATTATCTCAACCTGCCCGTGATGAGCGACGCTGGAGAAATCGTTGGTATGGTCGATGTTCTCAAACTAACCTATGCTACTCTCGATCAGGTATGTCGGGCTGTTCAGTGAAAAAGTATTTGTGCTGACTCTTCCAAGATCAACAACATCAGCACAACGGACAGTGAAGGCCCCGCATGGAATAAGTTCTGGTTGTCTCTGGACAACGAGACTGAGTCGATGATGTCAGGCGAGGGTGGAAGCCGTGTCCATGACCACCGCTCGTACCTCTCACACAACGACCGCCCTGGCCTCATGGATCGCGGCGATAGTGTGCTACCCAACGAGTCTGCTTCTCATCATGGCGGTGACTCACCAGACCCGTCCGCTGTCGCCAGTATTCCACCGTCCCACATGGAGGACATGCCATTCCCTTTCAAGTTCAAGGCGCCAAGTGGTCGCGTCCACCGTCTGCAGGTAGTCGTATCTGCAGGCATCGAAGAGCTTATCCACAATGTAGCCAACAAGCTCGGTAGCGAGGTCGAAGCCATAGGAGGCACACCGAGCTTCGAAGACGGCAAAGTCTCTCGCGGTGGTTTCGCCCTTAGCTATCTTGACAACGAGGGTGATACCATCTCCATCACCACCAACGACGATTTGGTCGAAGCTGTCAGCCTATCTCGTATGGCGCATCGCGAGAAGGTTGACCTTTTCGTACACCACCCCGACAAGGCCCCAATGTCTGCCGAGGTCAATCCACAACCTGCGCTACCCAAGCCCGTTACACCACCTGAGTCTACTCTTCGCGAGCGCAAGCAGTTCTTCGATGAGGACGACGAAAAGCCTAGATCGAGAGGCCGGAATCAACCAGTACCTCTCTCGCAACAGCCGGAGATCATTGCTGGTGTTCCAAATGACCTTCTCCTACCTGGAGCTATCGGTGTACTAGCCGTAGTTATCGTTGGTGTCTTTGTTCTTGGTCGCGCTAGTCGGTAAGGTGGACATGGGGTAATATGTGTTGGAGTAAGAGCGAGAGTGAATTGTTTCTTTTGTAAGAATCTGATATCCCATAGATCCCTGGGTATTTCCTAGCTGTTTTGGTAGTCAAATTGAATACATTTTACTTCCACTAATGTACAACTTTGTTCAAGTAGAAGTGTGATAGATTGACGGATGGCCTGGCTACATAGGCAGTACAGTAATGGATGTGGAAGGCACCAATAACGATACATGAGATGCCTCCTTCAAACTTGACATGTTGTAGCATATGATCAACATGTGGCTTCATCAGGTGGAAGGTTCTCATAACCTCTGCCCTAGAAACACGAGATTTCCATTGCATTTTATTTCAGATAATACAACTGAACATCACAACCTGCCGACTATTCAAAGGTAATCAAGAGCATGCCTGCTAATTCAAACGAAGAATGTCAGATTATTGCAGAGGCAATACACTGTGCAACCTACAATGGTACAGCACTTCCGAACACAAATATCCAGACGGTAATTTACGCTCCGATCTTATCTTTCCGTGAATACATCGTTTCTGTTGTGTGTTGTTGTTGCAGCAGAGGTTACGAGTGCTCTTACGCTGTATGTGGCTAGCGCGCGGCGCGCCAAGCTCACTCGCTTCTGAATATTCGCATTGTGCGTGCCGACTTCACGACTCCGACGTCAAGGACGAACCTCACGACAACCACCCCACTGCTGACTTTTAGATAACACATCTTCAGTACGCACTCCCGTACCTCGTCAACGCACACTCCCGCTTACAAAACTCGATAGAATCAGCCGCAAACATGGTCAAGAAGCGCGCGTCCAACGGTCGTAACAAGAAGGGCCGCGGCCACGTCAAGCCCATCCGCTGCTCCAACTGCTCACGATGCACACCCAAGGACAAGGCAATCAAGAGATTCACCATCCGCAACATGGTCGAGTCCGCCGCCATCCGTACGTCTCACGATCGCTCTGACGCTGCGCCGAACACGACAGATAGCGAAGCGGCGACTTCAGGGCATTGAGGACTAACAACACACAGGTGATATCTCCGATGCCTCCGTCTTCCCCGAGTACACTGTCCCCAAGATGTACCTGAAGCTCCAGTACTGCGTCTCCTGCGCTATCCACGGCAAGATCGTCCGGTACGTTCAGCCCGCACAAGGATTCGGATGAACTCGTTTCTAACACACTGGCAGTGTCCGCTCCCGTGAAGGCCGCCGCAACCGTGCTCCTCCCCCACGTGTTAGGTACAACAAGGACGGAAAGAAGATCAACCCCAACCAGGCCGCTGCTAAGACTACTACTGCTTAAGTAGCGTGTGGTTCGAAAAGGGAATGATCATGGCGCTTGGTGTGGGGTCTTAGGGTTCTTTCGGAATGTCATACTGGAAAATGCATGAATCCAGAAGAAGGGACAGGCCAAATGACGAAATCATGGTTGAAGCTTGCTCGGGAAAGCCTGCATAAGCAGCACCGAGAGCTAGCTATGAACTTGTAGACGAATATCCAAGTCGACTTGCACCACCTTGCGTCCATGTTGGTGATTTTACTGGGTATTAAATGCTCGTACAGCTGGCTGACTGCGGGGCTTATATGCTGTTCACTTACGACATGAGCAGCACGTGTTGTTGCAAGCGTGGGATATAAGACGTGAAGAACTGCAACATCCAGTGCTTCGTTACTCCAGCCCAAGTGCAACTTTCATTATGCACGTCGTACAGTGTCATCATTTCAGTCATTTCGCTTCTTCCCCTCACCCAAATCACCTCCATCGTCAAGACTCTTCTTCCCACTCACGGGCTCCGGTTCAGTAGTATCCCAGTCTTCTGCATTCTCGTCCCATGTTTCAAGTTCTTCGTCAACAGTGGATCGGATCACACCGGACTCCTGCCCCTCCACATTCTCACCCAGCTCAATGTCTCGTTCCTCGTCTCCGGCAACGGCTGTGTATCCGCGTGCAGCTCTCTTTCGCTCGAGCATGCGCTTGTGGTACCAATTACAAAGGCCGAGAGCGAGGAGCGAACCGAGGACGTTGGCTACGATGTCGTAATAATCGAAGTCACGATGAATCTTGGAACAAGTTAGTTTTGTGTAATTCGGCCCATGGCCATATGCTTGAGCCGTTTCTTCTCGGACGCATCTTGACTTACAGGCAACAAGCCTTGCACAACTTCACTAGCAATTCCCAGACCAATCGTGCACACCGTGAAGGTGAGCTGTAAGACTTTCCTTCGACTCGTCTCTAGTATCCAGTAGAAGCATAGTGTGAGAAGGAAGAAGGCGAGAAAATGTAGTGCTTTGTCGGATTGCTTGTACGAGGGGATCTTGTAGTCGGGCGGGGAAAACCCGGCGCCGGCGCTGATGAAGATCAGGGCTACGAAAGCGCCTGTGGATGCGTCAGCTTGGTGTTGTATGAGAGCTGCGAGCAAGTCGAAGAGGAATGTCTGTTGATTGCTCGGGCGCAGCGCCTCAAGCTCTCTCTGACGTATGGAACGAGTTCGTGCTACCTACCAGCAAACGGCTTCCGTATGCGCATCGTGTGGTCGTTTGGCTGCGGCTATAAGCGCTCAGGGAACATAATCAAGTCGTGGGGACAGAGCGCTGCTATGGGTGGGCGGCTGGAGCTACCGAGCGTTGCTATGCTGCCACGAGCTGGCATCTGGCGGAACTGGCTTGCAGACATGGGCTAACCTATCATGGTATCATGCCTGTCGATCACGTGTGGAACCTGTGAAAATCGACAACCTAGGAAACTGCGGGTAGACCCAGGTCGCAGCTCCGAGTCCTGGTACCTGACGCTATCTCTGCTGGCTTGCATTTTGAGGTTGATCTCAGCATTGCGATTAAGGAAATGCGGGGGCTTCCCCAGGGACATGAGTATGAAGAAGCTCGTATTTCGTGAGCTGCATCAAAGTCGACTGCGACTCAAAGGGGTTATGCCGTTCTTTGCATTTGTACAGCTGCAAAATACGATGCACAGAACATTTTCAGGGTAGGTTCGGCTGGTCGAGAGTTGGAAAAGACGGGCTCCTTGGTCAAGAACGTGACCCAGATACGCCCAGGGAGCACAGTCCATGCCATCGGCGCCATGTCAGCGTGTGCAAGGCCACTGGAGGCGACGATGGAGCATGTCAGGCGCGCACAGAATGAATTATCATGCTGGAAAATGCTGCCGACACGTAGGCGCTGGGGTTAAGGGTTCTGATATTGGGATGTGGGTGATTCATGGGGTTCGTTGCGGGAGTCGAGGTGCTAACGCTAAGGCGTGCCTGGAGAAGGGATAGGTCAACCTGCAACTATCGACTTTAAACCAACGACCAAACTCACAGGCCGCATCTTTGGCCATCAAGACGCGAGCCCACAGCACCCCTTTCCATCCCGCAGTCATCAGAAATCGACTCGCACGCCGTAGACTCTTCTCACATGCTTGATTTTATCGCGTTGCGACACCTGGAAGACGGTCGCCCTGCTGGCGGGCCATCCCCGTGAGGCCGCGAACCGCCAAGACCACCCCCCACAACCCACGACGACGACTATGTCGTTCAGTGCGTCTCCATATCCGCCATCATCGCGAGAACGCCCAAGTCATAGCCGCTCTCTCCATCAACCGCCTAATGCGACCCGTTTGCGGACTCCCAATGCGCTGAACGATGAGGCCATGTCAAACCACAACGCGAACAACTTCGGGGATGGGGGAGACATCGCCGCGGAGGAAGATCCTCGGGCGGCGCGTTGGCGCGAACACTACCTACGCACCGAAGCGCGTCTGGCTTCAGTGCTCGGTGGCACATACGAAGGCGATGCTGTTGATGCCCTGGACAATGAGGCGTCATCCGGTGATGCTCCGGCGCATGACGCGCGACCAGCCATCATCACCCCGAAGAAGCTAACCCGCACCATCGACGAGGACGACTACGGCGATGACGAAGACGATGAAGACGACGACGATACCCGCACCTCTCCCTTACACACGAAAGGCTCAGCCAATGGCCTTGCTGCTGCCGCTCCCAGCACGCCAAGCCTTCTCCGCGTACCCTCTATATCGAACAAGTCAGGTCACGACCGGACTGGGACACCTTCGTCGGACCACACAAAGACATCAGATGATGTGCGCAAGAAGCTGCAACAAGATAAAAAGGCAGCCGAGGATGCTGCAAAGCGGAGCTTCCAGACCATGTTCTACCCATTGGAGAGCGATCGTGACGCGATGCTGGAACAGCAGAAGCTTGACGAGCTCGACCGCCAAGTGGAGATAGAAACATCTGGAACGCCTGCGAATGCACCGCCCAACAGCGCCGTCGTCGCCCCTCAGCAGGGCACTTTGAGCACCACCAACCTTGGGGCGTCTAGCCTTACTCTCAAGCACCTCATCTCCCGCATCGATGCGCAAAGAGACAGAGTCCATGCGACAGACGCGCAGCTACGAAGCCTCATCAGCGAAGTCCGTAAGAATAGGAGTAAATGGGCAAACGAAGATCGGGTCGGCCAGGAGGAGCTCTATGAGAGCACGGAGAAGGTCCTCATGGAACTCAAGGCAAACGAACATGCCCATCCCTTCCTTCAGCGCGTCAACAAACGAGAGGCCCCAGATTACTACAATGTGATCAAACACCCCATGGACATTGGCACAATGATGAAGAAGCTCAAGCAGCTACAGTACAAATCCAAGAAGGAGTTCGTGGAAGACCTCATGCTTATATGGTCGAACTGTCTGAAGTACAACGCAGACCCAAGCCATTTCCTCCGAAAAAAGGCCTTGCATATGAAGAAGGAAACAGAGAAGCTCGTACCTCTCATTCCTGATATTACCGTTCGTGATCGCGCCGAGGTCGAGGCTGAGGAGCGGAGAATGCGTAATGGCGATGCAGACGCTGATGGCGCTGATGACAGCGAAGATGAGGAACCTATCATGGCTTCACGGGGTAGAAAGGCACCAAGCAAAGGAGGCAAAGGCTCAAACGCGGCACGGAAGGCCCCTCCAGCCGGTCTGGAAGATACGCCGGGCCCAGAAACGAAGCCACCAGTTCCGTCTCTTAACAACGCAGTATCCAACCTGAAGAATGAGTTTCTACGAGCGGATTCTGAAATGGAAGGGAGCGTCAATGGTTTCTCAACACCTCCGCCACCCGGTGCATTGACACCATTAGGGCCAAACAGCATCTCGCGGAACGGCGTGAATGGCAGTCAAGCCGACGTATCGGAAGCCGACGGCACTGGTGTTTCAGTCAGCGATGCTTTGGAAGAGGATGCCGATCTCGACGACCTGGAATACAAAACCTGGAAACAAGTGACGAAGAAAGATCGAGCAATCATCGCGTCAGAGAGGCACAGATTGTTCCGTGACGATCATCTACAACCAGATGAACCTGCCATTCTGCGCACTAAAGCTGGCATGAGAAGATGGTTACGACACCGAAAGCAGGCTATCGAAGAAGAGTCTGCTGGTGGAGCTGTTTCTGCGCCGGACGGCAAAGACGGCGTTCAGGCCACAGCTGGCGAATCACTTGCCGAAGGCATTGAAGGGGAAGAAGAGCGTCAGATTCCTGATTACTACGACCCTGTGTGCACCATTCCTGACCTTTCTGAGCGCCTGCAATGGGTCGAGGACGCTGAAGGTTATGTTATTCCACAAGCGGAAGAGTACATGCGTATCTTGCCGAAAGGACAGTTCATTTCCCCAGACAGTGCGCTCGTGCACAAGTTCGATGGTAACAACCACATACTGCAAGAAACCAGGAAAATTTGTGCAAAGATTGGCATCGTCAAACAGATGCAGATTCAGTCACAGGTAGGTCTTTCTCCAGATTCTGTAGGAGTACAACCGCTGACCCTTTTAGTTGTACCAAAACCAGTTCCAGAGATATGAGCCACAGCCTTTTCACGAGGCAGACATTGAGCCAATAGTCACGTCTGAGGATGGGCCGATCATGGCTCCTTATGTCTGTCGTGCTGCTTTGCAGCGCAGCGTTGGCAAGGTCTTCTATCATGCTGGATTCGAAGAGTTTCAACCATCCGCTCTTGACGCCGTGACTGATATTGCGGCAAAATTCTTCCAAAATCTTGTTGCAAGCCTGGGAATCTACCGCGAGACGCCAAAGATGAAGTCGGACACACCGATTATCCTTCCCAACGGCCAGGCTACAAACTGGGCACCGCGTTTCACCCAGGAAGAAGCCGTGCTTCATTCTTTGCATGCTAATGGCGTCGATCTTGAGTCACTGGAAACTTATGTCAAAGACGATGTCGAAAGGCTTGGTACAAAGCTCGGTGGTATGCATGATAGGATGAAATCGTACTACACTGAACTTCTGCGACCAGCTATGGACAACGCTGGCGCTGACGGTGCCGGTGCCTTCAATGACGGTAGCGAGCAGTTCGTGGGAGGTGACTTCGCCGAAGACATTGGCGAAGACTTCTTTGGTTTCAAAGAACTTGGTCTCGACATCGAGTTCGGACTCACGTCTAGTGTGCCGTTACATTTGCTGCAAAACAGGGTGCATAATGCGTATGCCAGACAGGATAACAGGTACGTTGGGCGAAATGCTTCCACAAGGGTCCCGCTAATTTACTCAGCAACATCGCAACTACTGGCGTCATCATGCCTGAACCATCAAAATTCGAGCCCGTTACCGTACAGACCGCTGAAAACCAGATTGGTCTTCTCCAGAACTGGCTCCTCAGCAAGCTTCATGACAACAATAGTCAGCCGCTTGTTGAAGATGACGACCTCCCCCCGAAGCAGCGATTCCCCAAACCCCGTTTGCCACCTACGGGCAAGATCTCCAGTCCCCGGAAACGTCCTCTCCGAGAGCAGCAACAAATGGCTCGTAAGAAGCGCAAGCTAGATGAGGAGAAGGACGAAAACAGCAACGATCAAGCTGGGTTCATGAAGGGCATTGGCAAGCCCATTGGAAAACTGAAGCTTGAGCCAGTGCAGAGAGAAAACCACAGCGTACAAGAGCCGGAGAAGGAGGATGGTAGCGCCCATGGAATGCCGAGCCCACCCGAGTCTTTCTAGTGACATACTGCTGGCTGACCACCGCGACTGGATTTATTCTGCCAGTCGCCTTCTATAATTCCGACTTCTCACCATGTATTGTAGGTGACAGGAGGTCGTCTTTCGCAACCATTGTTTAATTCATCGAGATATCTTTATTCTTTTCGCGCTTTTCATGACGGCTTTGGGCCTACACTATAACTTTTCTGTCTGCACAGAGCATGCTAATCTTACGCGCGATTTTTTTTTTCTTCATTTCCTTCGCTCACCATCTTTCTGCGGGAGCAAATTTGTCTTATTACATTGAAAAGGCGGAGGGGTTGTCCTTGTATACCCAACTTTGCATCTTGCGCAGTGGCTTTCTGCGTGGTTTTACGATCGCATGTTTGCGACATCAGGCTGGACTCATGATGGGTTAGTTTTGGACTTGGGGCTTCGTGCATTCCTCTTTGTATATACCAGATCCGTGGGTTTGAGAAGATTGTCATGGTATCTATGGGTCGCCCATAGTATTTCAATGCTATTCATGGAGTATGACC